GCCAGAGAAAATTTCACGTACCCTAACGGCGACACAGAAGCCGTCAAAGAAAACCTTGGAAGTAAATTTCTGCAGTACGTGCACTGTGTATTACTCACCGTAACGACGAAGGCACGGTTGACGACGACGGCTCCCAACAAGGTCATACCAACAGGCTCCGACGTCAGACGATGTAGATGGGCTAAAAACGAAGGTGCTGATGCTTATCGAGAATTTGGCTTCCATCAGACTGGAGAAACTTTTGCAGTTTTTTCTTTAAAGTGCCAGCCTAAAAAGCAACGTTTATGTGACTGTTGTTACTTCCCGAACTCTGACAATCACATTGCCGAACAATTTCGGAGATCCGTTTGTGTTGGTAACTTACGTACTTACTTGCTCCGCAAGATAGACTAGTGCCCATGTCACGAGAGTCGTATCAATCATTTCAGGTAAAACTTGCAGCAGACTGTGAAGATCTTGCAGCATGATCATTTTTGCAACATACATCAACGCAACCAGAGCATACATAAATAAGGCGCACAGTACCGGGGACAAGACTCTGTCGAATTGCTTCACCATTTCAGCGAATAATGCATGATCTTGCAGTAAAATTTCCAGCTTTTTACCGCTACAGTGTACGGAAAAAGTCTTAGATATGCCATAAAAACAATAACCAGTACCGAAACCAATCACCACAACAGTGTAGCGGAGAATCGAGGCGGCAACAGTATTTGCAATCGCACATAACGTTATCAAAGTCCTTGCATCTTCTGCTGTTGTGTGCGATATAGCACTCATATCTAAAATACTTATGCAGAATTCTGGACTCTCCAATCGTGGAACCAGTTCGTACACATTTTTCACAAAAACAGAAACAACGCGCAAACTTGCCGCTACGACCAGCGTCACTGTGTACCACTTCCATGTTGCGGTTAGATAACGCCCGTATTTTAACTGCAACTGACAAATAAATTCAACCCAATGATGCACAGTAGCCATGAGATAAACCGATCCAATAACGGAAACGACGAATGACTGAAGATCGATGGCAACATCTACGATTTGTTCGGCAGACCAGGCAATGCCTTTTACCCTCCTCAAACTCCAGCAGAGATGGTCGATAGAGTCAAAAAGCTCCTATCATGCAGCAAATTCCGAGCAAACAGCCGAATATTTGGAACCCTTTGCGAAATCTTGGAGCCACAACTGATATTGGTACTGACTGGTAAAAACAACCAAATCCCAGAATATACAACATGAAAAACCAAGGGCTCAAGACTGCTGCAATACTGCAAGGCTGCGCCATTTTTTGAACGATTTTAATATTTCCTGTCAAAATTGCTAGCACAATAGTGTCAAACAGCTGGATGTGCAGCATTTGCTCTGATAAAGGATGTAAATGTTCGTTTCGGTTAATTCGTCATCATCATTGCTGAAGTCAGCAACCCCATGGGAGAAGTCATCACAGCCGGACGTTCGCAGTGTCAAGGTTGTATACGTTAAGGTCATCCATTAACAACAGCGATATGGATATTTGCCGTACGCTTGTTCACACAATTCTTGTAATCCTATTTATGTAAACCTTATATCGACTGCACTTCCAAGTGCGTCGGTGCAGCAGCGGAGCACGCGGAAAGAGTAAAACTTCGAAACCCGGCTGGCCACAACCAAGATACAATCTCGTAGCAGTCGCCTTCGAAATTTACGAACTCTGGGGAGGCGAAAATAGAGGCTGGTGGAGAAGGTTGGCAACGGCATAGCTTTCGCCACAGGTAAGAAGCGGGCGAAAGAGTATTTTAGACAGCGGCTAACTATCCAAATGCAACGGGGAAACACGATATGTGTTATGGGTACAATCCCAAACAAGATAGCTTTGAAGAAGTGCTTTTGTTAGTTTTATTACTCAGTCTGTATTAGTATGTGATTCTTATTTCTTATTAAAGTTAAGTTATGTAAACGGAAACCTTTATATCAGTAACACGTCTCCTGTATTTGCTCGGAATTTCATTAGTGTAAAACAGTCAGTTAGGTAAAAACATCAGTGTAGAACAATCGGTTCACGCCAAATAACCGTAAAAAGGCTGAAATCCGGTAATAAGTGCTAGTAACAGCTCTTGAACGCATTAATGCACGTTCTTGCATGTGATATTGGCGATTTCCCTTTTCAATGCAGATTGTATCTCTTTTATCTCGCTCTCGCCAACTTTCGGTTCGCGTAGTTCCCAGAAGACAAGCATGTACGTTACAACAGCACCAATGATCTACAATATAGAAAGACACTATTATAAAACTTCTATTCATGAAGTTTCCGAGCGTCAAGTAAAGCCGTGCAATATGCGCATCACTAACCGTAACGACGCATCCACGATCTACGGGAATAGTTTTCAGCAAGGTCATTCCCACATACTCAGACGCAAGACGGTGACGATGAGCGGCAAATCGATGACGCTGGTACTTCTCCAGAATTTGGCTTTTATCAGACTGGAGGAACTTCTGCAACTCCTTCTTTAAACCGCCGCCCTGAGAACCAAAAGATCATTTAAAGGATTAGCGAATTTTATTTGGCGAATTCTTTCGATCTGCAGACTGATCGAAATATTTTCCAGATCTGTGTTCGTTGGCACCCATATACTATACCTTCTCCGCAAGATAGACCAGTGACCATGTCAGTAGAGCCATATCAATCAGCTCAGGCAGAACTTCCAGCAGACTCCGAAAGTCCTGCAGCATGATCTGCTTTGCAATATACATGAAAGTCGCCAGGGTATACAAGCATAATGCAGACAGCACCGGTGATACAACAGTATCGAATTGATCCACCATTTCAGCTAGCACATCGTGATCTTGTAGCAAAGCCTCCAGCTTCTTACTACTGCTGAAGCGTTTGGAAAAAGCTTGTGATATACCACCAAAACAGTAACCCACACTGAAACCGGCCACTGCAATGGTATAGCGTGCAATATTCATGGCCAAAGTATTTGCGATTGCACATAACGTTACGTAGAACTTTAAATATTTTGATGTTGTGCGCAATACAGCATTCATATTATACACAACATGTATGCAAAATTCTGGATTTTCCAATCGTGCCACCAATTCATACATGCCTTGCACAACCGTATAAATAATGCGTAAATTTGCTGTTACAATCAGAATTACTGTGTACCATTTCCATGTTGCGGTAAGATGATGCCCGTACTTATACTGTAACTGATGAACGAATTCTGACCAATGATGCATGACAGCCATCAGGTACACAGATCCAATAACAATAACCACGAAGGCCTGCAGACTGACGGCGACATCCACGATTTGCTCAGCAGACCAGGCGGTGTTCTTTACCCTCCTTATATTCCAACAGAGATGTTCGGTAGAGTCAACAGTCTGCCCTACGATGCAAAAAGTTCCTAACACGCAGGAGAATATTTGGAGGCCTTTGCGGAACCTGGCATCTGTAAAAGCTATCGGGACTGACTGGCGAAAACAACCAAATCCGAAAATATACATTACGAAAAACCAGGGGCCCAAGATTGCTTCAAGATTGTAGGTTTTTGCCATTCTGTGTGCACCTTCCAGAATTCATTTCCAAATTGCTAGCGTAATAGTGTCTAACCGTTGGATGTGTAAGTACAGCATTTGCTTTGATGATGGTGTTTGTTGCAGACTTGCAGTTAATTTGATAGGCTTCTTTTGTACGGTCAGCATCCATTGGGAGAAGTCGTCAGCTGACAGTCACAGAGTAAGGAGAATATACACAGGTCAGTTATTAATAACAGCCCTATAGATTTTTGCTATATGTTTATTCTTCACAAAGATCTTGTTATATGTGCGCTTCAGTTTGACTTACTGAAAGGTTATGTCAACTTTCACTGAAGTAACGCACGCCCTGCATTTTACTGTATACGAGTATGTACATGTGAACATCAGTGATGCCAAAAAATAACGTTATTAAAGACCTACGTTTTTTAAAAAAAGCTGATTGATGTCCACTCCACTAACAATTTTCCAGTCCCCCACTACCGTTTTCGATGTACCTTTTTAAAATTTGAAACAGTTACCTAGATAATTTTATTCCTATTTGCTGCTGTTTTCCTCGGGTAGCATAAACTTTTCTTTATTCAGCTCGTGATTACTCCCACACAACCGGCATCACTCAAAGCGGCGACGATTGCGAAGCGCGTTCACACGAATTTCTCCGGCAGCTGTCTGTACATATTGTCGCTGGGGATTCAGCGGTGTAACGCAGCTTCATTCATGGGCACCGTCGAAGGAGCGCAAATGTTTAATGAGCCGTTGTTAATGTAATGTTGTCTATTCTAAAGTTAAAACCCGTATGTTGAAATAAAGCGTAATGGGATACTACAAGAGGTAATCTAATTAACGTCTCTGTAAACTTGTACATCAACTTTCGTGTCCTATCTTCAGTCAAGCACGTTCTACCTGGGTTTGTTGAAATTTTAACAATGTAGCTCATTTAAGACTTTTAACTTTCTTTCGGTATATACGGATTAACAGGGATTGCAAACTTGTGCCCACGTTGCACAAAGCGCGGTACGTAATTACTTGAACCCGACACTCATGCACCTTTATAAAGGTGTTCTGCTACGAGTAGATGAGACCGATTCACGACATAAACGTACTACGTAGCTTGCTGGTTTACGGTATATTGTCTAAACTGAGGTCACAGTACACGTATTTGAAAGCTGAAACATTCTGTAACACTAATTGCATCGGCTGACACTGTGTCTTTCAGTACATGCATTTCAATTCTGAAACATTCTGTGACATTACAGAATCCGTTTTATTGTCTACGGGCACCAGCATACGGGTACGGTATAATCGACCATTACTGTAGGCATGCAAAATGCAGACATGCGATAGGCGCTTTATAACGAAGGTCAACTGCACTGTACGTACTCGTACCTATATTCGATCATGTGACAACTGACACAGTTTTAGAAAACATTAATCGAACAAAGCGTTAAGACCACCCTGATAATAAATAAGAGCTCTCCAACGCACTACCGCACATTGTTGCATGTGATATTGGCAATTAATTCCGTTCTCAAGACATACTTCTCTTTCATTTCGCTCTCGCCAAACTGCTTTTCGCGTAATTCCCAGAAGAGAAGCATGTACGTTACAGCAGCACTAATGATCTACAACATAGAAGAATATCTTACTTTATCAAATCTATCCATGAAGTTTCTGTCATCTAAAGCATTAATCTGAACTGTGCAGCGTGTGCTTCGTGCATCACTAACCGTAACGACGAACCCACGATCTATAACGATAGTTTTCAGCAAGGTCATTCCCACAGACTCGAACGTAAGACGGTGAAGATGAGCTGCAAATCGATGGCGCTGGTACTTATCCAGAAACTGGCTCCCAGGAGACTGGAGGAACTTTTGTAGCACTTTCTTTAAAGCGCCGGCCTAAGAGCGAACAGATTCCTTTTAGCGATATCAAGCTTTTTTGGTCACAGTGATTTCCCAAACTCTTTCGATCTGCAGGTTAATCGAAACTGTTTTATGTGTACTTCAGTATCGGTTTTCTATATGCATTCCTACAAGTTACCTGCTCCGCAAGATAGATCAGTGACCATGTCAGTAAAGTGATATCAATTAGTTCAGGTAGAAGTTCTAGCAAGCTCCGAGCCTCTTGCAACATAATCCGCTTTGCAATATTCATCAGTGTTGTCAGGGCATACATACATATTGCAAACAGTACCGGGGACACAACTCTGTCGAATCGAAACACCATTTCACCTAATGCAGCATGATCTTGTAGCAGATCCTCCAAGTAATTAGTGCTGCTGAAGCGTTCAGAAAAAGCTATGGATAAACCACCAAAACAGTAACCAACACTGAAACCTGCCACTGCAATGGTGTAGCGGGCAATATCGATACCAACAGTGTTTGCGAGCGCGCATAACTTAACATAGCATTTCAGTCGTTTTGTTACAGAATTACGCGTATTTACTACAACAGGTATGCAAAATTCTGCGCGTTCCAATCGTGTGACTTCTTCGAACACGCTTTTCACAGCCGTATAAATAATTCGCCCAGATGCCGCTACGATAAAAGTCATGGTGCACCATTTCCATGTTGCCGTGAGATGATGCCCGTATTTCAACTGTATCTGATGAACGAACTCTAGCCAATGATGCACAGTCGCCATGAGGTACATCGATCCAACAACAATAACGACAAAGGTCTGATAATAGACGAAGACATCGACGATTTGTTCAGCAGACCATGTGGTATCCTTCAACCTACTTAGGTTCCAGCAGAGAAGGTCGGTAGATTCAAGAATCTGTCCTATTAAGCAAAAAATTCCAAACAAACAGCAGAATATTTGGAAGCCTTTGCGGAACCTCGGAGCTGCAGTGGACATCGGGACTGATTGGCGAAAACTGCCAAATCCAAAAATATACATTACAAAAAACCAAGGGGCCACAACGGCCTCAAGATTGTTGGTTTTTACCATTGTCGTGTATTCTGAACGGTTTTTGCCGGAATTTTCCTTTTATAGGAATTATTCTGAACGGTAAAAACCGTTCAGAATAATCCCTGTAAAAGTCTGAAATGCCAGGTAATATTGCAATAGTTGCTCCGATGGTGCAAGGGAATGTTTGTTGCGATTACTTTAACAGGCATTGTTGGTGTCGTCAGCACACATTGGGAGAAGCCGTCAGTTGACGTAGTGGAGTCATATTTACCGCATGTTTATCCGATCGTTTACACAGTTTTTGCTATCACGAGCATTTCATATCCAGTAATTTACATTATGTCGGACTCCTGCACTAAAATTCTTTTAAATGTTTCGTCTACTTCTGTGTAACACTGTATCAGTAACGTCAAACACACATGAGTACTTTTTTCATAAGATTTCACAGTATGAATCTATTAGGTGAAAAGAAGTACTCCACAAACATCCTTTCGCCCCTGTTTTAACTCGATGCAGCCGTCTTTTCTATTTAGGAACTTTAAACTTTTGCATACAGTTATTTTGCTATCGGCTGATGTTTCTCTCAAATAGCGCAACCATTTTTATTCATCCACTCTTTTCAGCAGGCTAATTCACACCGCCGCGTAACTGAAACGCGCCACTGACTAAATACTTACTAATAATATTTGTAGCACCCAAAACCACCTACAGGTCGCGGCAATCACACTCAATGCGCGAAATAAATTACTGCCAACTCGTTCGGAGTACCCTCCGCCAACGGTCAACCTTCAAGAATTTGCCAGATCGGTACATATTCCAATATCTCAGTCAGTGCTTCAGCTGGTGATGCGGAACGCCGACCAAGGCAAGCAGTATGTGTTTATAATTCCCGGACGTGTCTCCCTAGAAAAGACGAATTGCTTCCACTGCTGTTGACCTTTCAGGGTTGAATTCGCAATTTTGGCTTGAAGTAACAGAATTAAGGAATCATATCTGAGCCGAAGCTGGACACAAAGACAAACCTCAATAAACGATTCCAAGGTCTTGTTATACAGTTTCTGAAATTCTGCTTTGATATTGCCCAAATCTTTTTCACATCGTCCAACAATGATGCGAATCAATTTATGGTCATTCGTTCCCAGTCCTTTCATGGACTTGTACAAACATTCCGCGAAGAATTCATGCCGGTTCTTTACGAATTTCACTTTAAACATAAACGTCAAACAATATCGTTAGTTCCAGAACTATGCTTGCGCTACACTATGTCAACGGTATCTTAAGGTTACCAATAGATAGCATCAGTGCTCGCAACTCGCCGTGCATGTTTTTTTTAATGGCTTCCTCGATGTCCTCGTTCGCCAGCTTTTCAAACTGACGGAACGTGATGAGCAGTTGCCGGTAGCTGCGAGACGAGAGGATCCTAGTAAAGGATGATTCAGCACCCGCCCAGTGGGTAGTTTCCGCTTGGTACAGTTCATCCGCGTCTTTATCGGCCAGCTCTAAATCCGGTGCTTGGTTTTCCTCGCGGTGAGCCGATAGTAAGGCCAATAGTAAATGCTCGAATTCTCCCTTGGTGTCGTGTCGGATTATAGATTCCAGTTCTTTGTGATACACTAATTATAAAGTAAACGAAAACTAAATTAAAAAAGCATGTTAATGGTACTATGTACAATATCATCAGTAATGGTAAACACGGTAATCGTACAAGTATAATAATTGGCGGAAATGGTCAGAAGCTCTTTGTTATTCCGACTGCACAGGATTTCTATGACGGTATCGTGATCCGTAAATGGTCCCTGCAGTTTTAAACTGGTCATGTACAATTTAAAATTCATGTACAATGTAAAATTACACACTGCCGAATATTAATTTCAGAAATCTCGAAGTATTGCATTAAAGTGTACTTTCTGTTGAGTACCTACACAAACAGCACTTCTGCTCATAACGGAAACGGATTTGTACGAGTATAAAAACAAACTGTTTCATAGCAGGCCGTGTGCACGCCGTTTCGTAGCACGCCATTCAACCAGACTATGGTTAAAAGCAGCGGAAATCCCTTCGGTAAGAAAACTGATACACGAAACCGCCAACGTAATACAGTAACGCGTTACAAAGGGATAACACAAAGCCCACGCTACAACATTACTTCACCTCTATATATTCACACAGAACATATTCATGTGTCAGCTTATTCAAACACCAACAAAAACTACATATTCCTTACCGACAAGGCATGATGCAATTCCCGGGCGTCATACTCAGCGGGTTCCAGCAACAGCGCCAACAGGGCTTGTTCGTAATGACCCATAATATTCAGTTCGTGCTTGATGGTGGATGCCAGCTCCTGTATTTACCGGGAACACATAGAGTGGGAGATTAGATCAAAAGCGCGCGCTTCCCAACAATTATTAGCACCATTGACATGCGATCGATAGACAACAATTCATCGTCATTGATTATTATTTATCGCACATTCTTATGCGAAAGCAATTACACGGGATTTATGTGCACACCTTGTTGTACAGTCGATGGTAGGCAGCCACGATAGAGCGACGCTGGCCGTTATTGTGCGATGTTAGGATGTCCATAACAACTTTATTTTTTGCTACTTCACAAAAATAGAATCAGGTTAGCATTACTGAAGAACGTTGATTATCGATCCCTGTTGCTACCAACTTATAAATCAAATATTTATGTAAAGCTGTATTTACGCATAATTACGCAAATATCAGTTGTGGTACAAACAAACATATACGAAAAACACCTTAATTTGCAAATAAATGTACTCAACATGTTATAGAAAAAACTGTGTACCCCATATAAACGGAAGTGCTCTGTTCGTGCCTCGTGGGTACACTACTGTTGGAAGTACAATATTTAAAATTCTTGACATCAGGTCAAGCTTTGAAATTATTCACATTCGCACTCTACTTGTTCATTGGTACAAAAATAATTATGTCGCGGCTGTGCTATCTCCGGAACCGTTCTGTTGCATTTTTTATGACCGGTATGATGATGATGAGGCGATATCGTCGACTGTCGAGTATCCCACCGTTAGATAAAAGGGAATTTTTAAATCCAAAACCAAAAAATTTAATAAAATCACTATTAGTTACTGTATGGTATGATTATTGGTATCCATTCTTAATTTACATGTACCAAAACTTCTGTGCACGGATACATTAAATTTTGAAACGCCGATAAAACATTGCCAGTCTGGTTGCAAAAACCGTGTATCACCATTTACAAGAAATTAAACTATAATAATATAAATTGACTTTCATCGGAAGAGAGATAAATTCTACTCATAATATTCTCCTCGTAATAAATAATCGGCGCAGATATGTTCCCATCAATTCCAATAACCGCATTTCATTTCATTGGTTAAAATTTTGACTTCAAATGAAATGTTGTACAGTATTCTGTAGTGTAACAGCTGGTACTGCGTTTAGAAAGCGTATACATAGTTTACGAGAAGTACAGCTGACCTTAAAGCCGATTAGTTAATTGCGCAGTGTCGCTTACCGAACCCTTTAAGCGCCTCATGGAGCGCCTTAGCCTCCGCTTCCGCATCGAAGAACGAACTGCCCACAATTGTCGGCACATCGGCCGGGCCTTCGAATTCCACCAGGAGATTCCTCCGACGCGTATCAGGGGAATCGGCAGCCATCTTCTTCAGTGCCGGACGGAGAATACTGGGCATTGATACCGGTTGATCTGCCGCCACGGCCACATATACAACTGCGCACCTTCCACTCTTGCGTGCTGTGGCGCTGCCGGGACAAATGGTAATAAGCACAATCCCTTTTTAAAGAGTAATTCGATTAGCCCTATAATGTGTCGACAATGTGGCGGAGTGTGCGCGGTGCGCGTTTAATAAATCTGTGGATGCCACGGATCAATATCCCGGCACCGTGCGCGGTGCTGTGTAAGTAGCTCTTCAAACAACAACTAACGACGGAAACGTTATACAAGGGGTACAAAAGAGCATGGCAGCGGCTTTTTCATCCTGGAGATCTCTCGAAATGTCCTCGCTATGTGGAAGAAAACCATCGGGATGACAATACATGTTCCCCAAGATGGACTAGTGCGGGAACATGGCTGCAGCGCGGCGTCTTGCGGTGTGATTTTGATCGATGTTTACGGTTTCGACCGACCGAGGTGGATTCTATTGTTGGGATTATTTGCGCATGAGATTGAGAATAACAAGCTTATTAAAGAGGAAATTTGCCTCTAACAACCTGTTAAGAGCTATTCAGGTAACTGCTCAACGCGGAGCCGAACGTCATGGTGATTTTATTTTCCGTCATAATTCCTGGAATCAGCCGACAAGAAAAATAAAACAACATTTAAATTTGTTGAAAAACTGCTTAGTCCAATCTTTTAAGCAGAATACAAAATATACTATCGCCACTATATTACGGTGGTCGGCACCTGGGCTAATGAAAAGCCGGAGTAGAAATAGATCGAAGTATTCGTACGTCATTATCGAGGCATCGCCGATAAGTATATATCGCCACACCAAACTGGACTGTCATGATTGTTTGTTCGGGCTTAATTCCTGCATCAAAATAAATGAATCAGCATCGGTACATTGTTATTAACACAATTTATCGTTGCGTGACATCGTCGCAATTTCATTTTGATAGTTACAAGGTCCTTTGGATATTTGCTTTTGACATGCCCGCGTTCTGCTGATTCGGCAGCTTAAATCGTTACTTCGCATGGGGCCTTAAGTTTTCCCCTCGTATAGTACGGGAAATTTCGTTTTCCCCCGCACATGTGCCGCTTAGTCGCTTACACGAATGCAACCTAAAGTTGGCTGCAGCAAAAAAACCGGTTTCTGGCCAACTCGGCATATATCCGGTTGCGCAACTGAACAAGAGAGCACAGACAACTCAGATAACGGCAAACGTGTTGCCGCAGCGCACGCGGCTTTAAGCTGCAGTCAGCTTTAAGCGTGTAAGCGACTAAGCGGCACATGTGCGGGGGAAAACAAAATTTCCCGTACTGTATGAGGGGAAAACTTAAGGCCCCATGCCAAGTACTGGACTTTCTGCATTTCTCTTGGTTTTGTTATTCAGGTCACATTCCGCAAATTCAAATTAAAACAATCTCATTTTTTTAAATGTCATTTTTAGTAGAGTATTTATGTACGTAGCATGCTTAAAAATATTTTATTGTGCAAAGGTCAAAGGACCTGGCCAAGCAAAATTAAGTTGTGACCACTCCGTCCGCAACCTTTCTCTCGGTTCACAACCTTCCGCACCACCTTCACTCCGTGCACTGATGCACTTTTTCCGACATGGTCTTTACTCTAGTAGCAGCCTTTACTGGCAAGCGCGAAACGGATTTATTTTTAGTTATTACTTAATTTCCACCACATCTGCTTGTTTGTAAATTATTTCGCTCCAAGTTCTGTAAACGATCTGCAAAACGAACGAATATGCTTATTCCAGTAAATAACACATAAGATGTCACTTTCGTTGTATCCGCAAGCATTTAATAGACGAAGAATTGAGCTTAGATGTGTAACATAATAATATTATTAAGTAATTTTTTAAAACTTTACCAAACGATGGTTCGGAAAATGAATCGCGAAGTGTTATCCGCTCCCACTCAGGAGAGAATGCGAACAGCGTAAAAACGAAAGGCAGTGTACGGCGTGAAGGGTACTAAAGGTTGCGCGCGCAAAAGGGAGTGCACCGTGTGTAAGGTTCTGATCACGAACTGAGTGGTCACCAAACTACTGTAAATTCTCAAAAATGACATTCACAATGCGTGCATTAAAAACCGAACGACTAAGAATATTAGAGCTGCAACTCTAATCTTCTTGGCTGGAACACGACGAAAAAGAACTATACCATCCGTATTGATTACAATTGACGGGCTCGTATGAGTAAATTTCGATGATGTCCTTCTCATGATTCATGCCCGCTTACTCACGTCGATCGCACAGTCAACAGGCATGCACTTTTGTCTCAAACAAGACTACGAACATTTTTGCCGGAAAACGTGCATTCCGTTGAAACTATGTAGGGTATATTTTATCGTTTCGATCTCAGACATGATGTCGAAGACGTTGATACAGAAAGTCGGAGACAATAATTAAACTGCCATGCCGCTTGATAGTGCTGTTTAACGAGAATCTAAATTCAGCGACCCTCACGCTCGTTTTCCTCACGGGAAGGTTTTTTGTTGCTACTTAATGCTTACTTGAGTTTCTGGCACTGATTTTGTTCGCCAAAGTTTTCAGCTATTAGCATACAAAGCTTAATCATTAGTTTTTTTAAGTTTATGGGATGCAATCTGTACTGCATGCGCCAAAATAAAATCTACTGAGCACTGAAGAATGGAAGACACATGCATCGCCTGCACGGAGCGTCTAGCCACCATTACGTTCAAAGCCTGTCATCACCGATTGTACTGTTCCGAATGCTTCCCTCGTCTACATCCCAAAGTCTGCCCGTTTCGCTGTCCAGGTCGTGAGACGGAAGACAGCACCGTCATTCAGCTTCGTCCGACAACGGTGTCCGACGCCGTATCCACGTACAATGCCGGGGAACTGCTCACCTACCCGTTTGGTTACACCTCTCCCCATCTGCCGCTCGAGGAAACACTACCCACGGATTACCTAGCGATGCGCGCCAAAGTCCAGGCCGTCCAGGCTGGGCGCCTGGACATCGCCGAAATCCACTCAGCACTCGGCGATCTAACTGTCAAGCAATACCATCTGGTCTTTGTGGAGCTGTACAAAGATCAAGATCTCCATCAAGTACTCAAAGCCATCGATCGCTGCAAATTCGAAACCATCGACATCACCCAGCGCGTTAAGGAAATGGTGGTCACCACCTTCACGTCGCCGTCGTACGGCGCCATTGCGGCACGCTCGGGATTGGCTGCGGTGGTGGACGTGTTGGCCGAACAGACCATTAGCAGAGTGACGAGATTGGGCGGGGCCTTATCACGACCGGTTCTAACGGCCATCCCTAATGTGGCCATGTTCGTCATCTTCAGCGGAGTGGAGATCTATCGTTGGAAAGTGGCGAAATCTGTTACAGGAAGAGAATGTATGAAGAACCTCGGTGAGCATTTTGTCGGATCCGTGTTCGGCGCGTTAGGGAGTTATGGCGCAGCTGTCCCCTGTGCAGCTGTGGGTGCGGCCATTGGGTCGGTAATTCCGGTTATCGGGACCGCGCTGGGTGGGACTATTGGTGCGATAATTGGTGCATTTCTGGGTGGGATAGCGATGGATGCTACCGCCCGTATGTTGTACCGAGATTTCATCCCGCGACAAAAACATGAGGAAAGAGAGACCGACCGACTGGGGCAGCGGCAAATGACCGCGGAAGAGATTGCTCAGCGAGCAGCGGAGAAATGTAATACGAATCTCCAGCTGGATAATTTTGCCGAGGCACAGACCAGATTTCGCCGTAAGCTGCTGGACAATCACCCGGATAAACATCCCGGGGCGACAGCCGAGGAGAGAGCACAGCTGACGGCGGAGACGCAGGATCTTCTGGCGTGCTGGCAGATTGTACGTCAGTATTATGCGGAAAGGGATGCTAATGAATTAAGCGGAGAAGGGTATATTCGCCTGTATGCGCTGAAGGTTTTTGAAGCCGCCACACAACAGTGGAAGACGGTGCGGACCTTTTTTGCCGATATCAGTGTAGGGCGAGATCTTGATCCGGACACCGAAAGGATTGAAGACACCTTTATTTACATTTGATGATAACAATTTATCAACCGAGATGCATACAGTTGATTTTTTCGATTACCTATGTACAGGGTTTCCTTAGAGTGAAACAAAATTTATTGGGCTCCAGTGCAGATTGCATCTACCATTCTGATTACTGGCATGGAAAATTTGCGGCTTATCGAGAATAGAATCTTGATTGTGTTAGTCTTTTATTGATATTGTTAACACGATTTGGCTTTTCCATGTTTTGTTTTCGTGAAAATCTTCTTCCTTTTTCATCTACTTTGAACCGGTTACAAACGTACAATGCAGAGTACATACGTACATACGTACATACGTACATACGTACATACGTACATACGTACATACGTACATACGTACGTACATACGTACATATCTTCAAAAATGTAATTTCAAGCACGTCCACTTATTAAAAGGTCACCACAATCAAGGTAATATATTAATGTATACTAATTGCTGGCAACTTTCCCGATCTTCCTTTGATTTTTAAAATCCAGACAAAGTATTTGTGCACATTGCTGGCGCTCAGGCAGAAAAGAACCGGATCCAGGATAATCTGCAATGCGTAAATGTTCACTTGCACTTTGTACAAGGCGGCAAATCTGGTTTGGGCATTGGGCACGAAGTCTACCAGAGTGTAATACACAATGCCCGGTATCCAGCATAGAGCGCAGCTACAGGTGTACAGCGTCAAAAGCACAAACAGACGCATCGTCGAATCCGAGCGATATCGTCCGGGAGTCGGGCGTGGATTGGCCGGTTCCATCCGCCGGCCAACCGTCAAGCGTTTGCGTCTTTGTACGAACTTCCACAGCAGAAACGGATAGCACGCTGGAACAGACATTTTGCCCACATCAAACAGCCAAATATTAACAAACATGGACCATTCGTACTGCGCTTGAGCGTTGAGTCGGCATCCTTTTTCCAGCGGCAAACGATGATACACTGCATCCAGTATGAGTCCCGGCAGTTGGATAACATGGACATAGGCCAGCATGCCTAGCGACAAATATACGGCCATGGCGAATTAGTGGTGTATGCGGTAGGATACTGGCCAAAAGAGTGCCCATCCGCGGTTGATGGTAATCAGCACGTGACTATGAACGGCCACCGGGAGAATTATGTAACGGCAGTACAAGAATAGCGTGCAAGCGTGACTGCCCAAAAACCAGTTTCCATAAGGGAGAACGATGATTGCCATCGTATGCTGCATGGCAAGAAACAGGATGTTGCTGCATGTCAGAACGATGATGTAGACGTTAAAAGGTGTCTGCATAGTTTTCTCTTTACAGAAGATACAGATCACTGCAGAATTGAGAATGAAAGCTGTTACGGTCATGCTGATCAGCGTGGAGGAGGATTCAGGTTCATAAGTCCTGTTTCCTGACTTTTCCGCTGACATCGTATAATTATTGTAGAAAACATTACGAGAATGATTGCTTGCCATTGCTCTGCAGGCTTGAATAACAATCGTAAACGATGTAACCCAAACTGCAGATATTCCTTCTGAGATCGGGAAATACAGTAGCATCGGAATGACCAGGCCTAGAGTAGGGATGGTAGAATATTAAAAATTCCGCTTACAAGATATCTAGCAAATAGAAAAAACGGTCACTGAAGCAACGACTTGCGAACAGCGTACGGCAGAAGATTTCCGTAAGTACAAACTATTCATGTGCGTTATAAGATTTTTATGTACAGAAATTCCCCGCTAGCATACTTCATCAATACTGAAGATTTTAAATATTGAATTCCAGCTTTAATGTCACCCACATTCCGCCAGTTGAGATGAGAACATTGGAAATATTGAAAGGATCGCGGTAGCCTCGTACGTTTCGTGTGCTAGGGTGCAATATAAACCAAAGGTCGTGTAAATTTCAAATTACACCCGCTGGTACTTGATATTTATGCATAGATATTTATATAATGAAATGCGTGTCACATGCCTCGTTAGCGCTCTGAAAAGAAGCATTCACTCAGCGAAAGGTGGCACCGTTAATTTTTCATTACGTTTGGTTGGTGTACCAAAAATTTTCCGTTCTGTGTGTACAATACATATGCCTATACATATATGTACAATACAATACATGATTATGTGAGAGTTTAACGTATTGCAACAGAATCATAACATTTGACACCATAGAAGTGTTATACGCACACCATTATGCAGGCTTCGTTTACGTATGGGTTCACGTGACGGTTTCTGGCTGGGAACCCCTTATCTGTTACAAAGAAGGAAGCTGTGAACGAATGGTTAACGATTAGCTTCTTGCACAATCTGTTTTCAAATTCTATTGTGCTCCTTAAGAAATTTGGTGAACTGAAACCAAAGGATTTTATCTATCCAGACCAAAAGTCATACAGACAAATCCATCGTTATCACATAATTACCGAAGCGATTGCCTAAAGCACTGGTACGATGTCTTACAGTATGCCGTTTTCATGATATACTACACATACTGTACAGTACAGCGTCTACGCACAACCACAATCATTGTTTATGCGAAATCGAGCTTTTAATGACGTCATCGAAATGCAAAGACACCTTTTTTTAGCGTCGTTGATCTGGCAACCATGTAAATAAGACGTAACCGTAATCGATGTTTCTTGGAATGCATATTTGTTTGAATATGCTAATAACTGCCTAATCGCGTTACTCCACGAACTATTCACGCATGCCTGATATTAAAAAGAACCGAATTGTTAGCTTTCCTACTGGTTAAACAAAATTGCCGCTTGCCTGCTGATTATACATTTTCAAATGACTTGTACAGAAATCATATTAATATATTTGCGGAGTAAAACTAGTGAAAGAAATGATATATTAATTATAAGGAATCACGTCTTGGAAGCGTTATGCTGACCGATCAAGAGAAGGAGGATTTTTCGATAATCTCCGGATGTATCGCCCTGCAAAGCAGAAAATTGTCTTCAAACTGCATGATGCCGGCACAGCGTACGCCTGACATGTGACAAGTACGGGCTTAAAAGATCCATACCGATATCCAGCTGTCCAAGCTTTGGCCATAAAGATTTTGAAATTCATCCATAATGTTACGCAGGTCAATCTCAGACCGGGTTACAATGATCCGAATTAGTGTTTTGTCGTTCGTTCCCAATCCTTTCATGCTACGATGCAGCTCTTCGGCGAAATACCGATGCTTGTTTTTGGCAATTTTAGCTAGTAAAATTCAAAAAATGCACCACAAGCCAAGTTATACGTAATTCCAATGTTTACTGATTGATAATGTGTTGTCAACATTTTATGGAAAGGTCACCGAAACGAGATTGCAGAAATGAAATCTCTCACCGATAGCAGTCAAAATTTGCGCAGTGTCAAACAGCATGGTTAGCTCTCCTGAAATTGCTTTTTCGATGTCCTTCTTAAAAATTATCTCGAACTCCCGGAAAACCATGCGCAGCTGTGGATAACTACGTGTCGTGAATATATTAGCGAAGAGAGAACTGTCGCTGCCCCAACGTCCCGCAACGGCTTCCACCAGGGACTGCGCATCACCCATAGCGCTTTCCATATTGACCTCCACCGCTTCTTCGCGTTTACCCTGAAAGCAACGACAAAGTCCACCGCGTACTCTAGTGGTAGCCTTTCGTTGGTATAACTTTTAATCGTGTTTACATGGAGCAAATCCAACAGTATGCGTCGTAGTACTCCTGATGTATCCGCACTGATGTCCTTTTCCAACTCTGTCCCATAGACTACAGTGCAAGCAAAATCGATCTTAGCGTAAGTTAGTCTTAGGGCTACCAAGAAAGAATGAAAACAATGCTGGCGAGACTCGAAATACCTGTCTGATAGGCTGTAACGATTCTGGCCAAATCGACATTTTTCCTGGTGCAAATAATCTCGATTAAAGCCGCTTCATCGGTTCCCATTCCCTGTACAAGAAGTTTAGGAACATTTATAACCACAAATATTTGTCGCTGTATAATATGTACTCGTACTTTGTATAGAAGTGTTGAAAACAGTACTGTGTTAACGGACTGCGCGGTGATTTCATTATGAAGTTACAGTAGACGTAGCAAATTGGAATTGTGAAATAGCAAAGCAGTAATTATAAGTACTCGTAATGTAACCATAACTCTAGTTATGAACTCTAATAACTCTAATAATCAAGGTACGTACCTCTAATAATGAGTTACAAAACCATAACAGAGTAATAACGAGTTACAAAATTGAATAGCTATATGTAGTTAGTAGCTATACCTTGACTGCATCGTGAAGCTGGGCGGCATCGTAGAAAGCTGGTGGAAGAAACAGTCCACAGATGACTTCTTGTAAATTTCCCATAAGTGCCGCTCGAATACACGTCACCAGATCCTGTGGAAAGACTTTGGAGGCATGTATGTATGTTCCATCATGAAGTTATTATAGCGTTACCGTTGCTGTAGTGTACCATTGACAGCGTCAGAGTAATGCCGTGATCAAATTTATAGAATTTGCCGTTGTCGATCGCATAATTTACGCCTTCGCTACCCTAAATTATCGCCGCAATTCCAGTAATAACGTGCGCCTAAAGTTAAACTAACCTTTCCATACTGTAATCGGAAGGCGGCAGCTATCGCTACACGCTGCTGATTATTTCGTTTGGTGACAATGTCGATTATGGTGTTGGTGTCGTGGCTCACTGGAAAAGGTGGGGTCTTAGGCAGAAATAACTTTTTCGACGTTAGTATTACATTCTATCGTTTCTATGTGAAACTGGCGACGGTAGTATTCATTATTCGATACTTTTAGAGGAGTTTTAAGATAGCGCACTTAGCTCAGTTTTTTTTTCATTTTGCCATCAAATAAATTACGTTACTAATTTAATAAATTACGTTACTTGTCATGTATTGTCATGTGTAGGAATCGTATCTTTATTGTATCGTAATGGTCAGGAAAACAACTGAAAGGAAACTGAGGAATCGTAACTAGAGAACCGGGAAAACACAAGAGAAGTTGTTAAGAAGACAAGGACAAAGGACAGAAATAGGAAAGTATTAGAAGGACAATAAACACGTGAACTCAGTATACTACATTCCCTTCCCTCGCCCAAAAAGAGCTGGGTTGAACCATTGCATCAGAACCATATATTTAGCAGCATACAAACCATAGAACCATAGCAACAAGAACCACGGCAACAGAACCATATAGTTAGTGAACTCTGAACCACTGAGACGAAGCGTCGTAGGAACCGGAACTGGAATCACAGTATGTCGTATGGAGGACGCGGTGCGTAATCCGTAATGTAGTTATTCGTAGCGACGTCGGATTTCTTCTGTGAGCGGCATGCCTTTGCTATATGACCTTTCTTCCCACAGTTATGGCATACGTGTTTCCTGTAGAAACAGCGCTCGCGCATGTGATCGGTTGATCCACAGGAATCGCATCTTCGCTTAGGGAACTGGAATCGGAATCGGACTCGTTTTGATTGCTGGTGGGTGGCTTGTGGCTTCCATTTGCACTGGATTGACCACTGGAATTGGATGTCTTTTGCTTGACAACCGTTGACCTTCTGCTAGCTGTGACTTTCATCACAGTTTCACGGTCTTGGCTGGACGTACTGGCCGTAGCTTCTTCAATGCCGGTTTCCATCTTCCTGGCGGCGTTCAGGGTCTCTTCGTGGGTCTGGTATTCGTTTATCAGTAGGTGACGGCGGACGGAATCCGACTGGATGCCGTTTATGAAGACGGCGCTGAGCATCGGGTCGATGATGTCAGCGGGAAACTTGCATACGGTACTCCTGTACCGTAACCTGCTGGAGTATGCCGCCAGCAATTCGTCCTTCCTTGGACAGTTCGGAACAGGTGTGCCCACTCCGCGACCTTGAATGTGTACTTGTTGTACACTGTATCCAATTGGCCAGCAGCATTTCTATGGTGAGTTTCTTGTCCGTGATGGCAGTCGGCCTGCACATCGAGACAAGCATCTCGAATGGCTTGACCTCCAGCGAGTTCAGAAGCAGCCCTTTCTGCTTCTCCACGGGGATGTCGGCGAATTCGATATAGCTGTGGAGGTTTTCTTTCCACATATCCCACTGCATCGACTCGGGATTAAACCGTAGGATGGGATGAGTTTCTGGTGTCGCCATATTCGAACGAATTAAGAAGCGAACTAGCGCTGTTAAGCCGTATATAAAGAACTCGTACACTTCAATGATAGAGATCTACAGTATTACACAAGCTTCACGCCATTGTCATGTATTGTCATGTGTAGGAATCGTATCTTTATTGTATCGTAATGGTCAGGAAAACAACTGAAAGGAAACTGAGGAATCGTAACTAGAGAACCGGGAAAACACAAGAGAAGTTGCTAAGAAGACAAGGACAAAGGACAGAAATAGGAAAGTATTAGAAGGACAATAAACACGTGAACTCAGTATACTACATTACTATTAGTAAACAAATTACACTTATTGTAAGCACTTACCAATACCTTTCAGGGCAACTTGCAGAGCTTCAGCATCAGCTCGTGCATCGTAATCCACAGCGCCGGTTACTGTTCCTGCTTCCATAGTTAAGGTTCCGTCTCTTTTCCGCCGAACTTACTTCTAGAATAACCTCCAGCGACAAAGGAAAAAATGACTACATTTAAGGCTTTACTTCGGTTTTTATTATGCATTCATAAGCGCATCATACTCCGCACTGACCGCACATATATAGATATTCAGGTATACATAGTACAGAGTACACGCATAATTTTGCTGCGTCAATATGCACGTCTGCTGAAGTAAACAATACAGTGTTCTGCCATCCTGAAAGACTTTTTTGCATACGTTTCCATCAATTAACTGGACAAACGAGTGAATAGACTATTGATTTTCATCGGCAAAATTGCGGAGAATTGTCTTGATTATGGAAATTTTAATCTTTTGGTGGCAGGGGGCTCTACATTACTGACCATTTTGTTGACGCATTATTGATTAAACAAAACGTGATCGATATCTTCCGATAATGCACAACTTGTGGTAAAAGAGAATTTAAGGCCGGTCATTTCGAAACTTTCACCACCTTTTACTAAAGATAGTACTTCCGAAGCTTCACTCGTGTTTGCCAGATTACCCGGAAATTAGGTATTTGTTTTTATACAGAGTATATTATATTGTTCATACAGCCATCACATGCGCATAATTAAGTAAGTACAGACTCTGTATTCATTATAATACAGCCATCAGCAGCTACTATTGTATTCGCCCATAAAAAAGGCAAACTGGATGTAAAGCAGCACACCACAAAATTTAAAGCAGAGAAATGGTCGAAGGACAGGGAGACAATCGCTCAAGTAGATGGTTTCAGTGCAGCGTTATAGCGTATATGAACCAAGCAACCACCCCCGGGTTACAGGAATAAAATCAGAATTTACAGGGATAACAAGGAAGAAATGTACAGGAAAAAAATCAGGATTTCAACCATAAGCAGAAAAGGAGCTATAAATAGAGAACCATGTTTTCAACTCGCTCCGTATCCGGATTGAGGTCGAGCCCAACAGCGATATCTTCAAAAAACGTTCTCACAATTTTCCACTGTTGTGTCGCGGCTTCGAACACTTTCAGTACGCATACCCGAATAAAGCTTTCATCGCTCAGCTGACTGGCGTTCTTTGTAGCATAATGCTGGCGTACAATCTGCCAGCAAGCCAGTAGATCCCGTGTCTCTGCCGTCAGTTGCTCCTTTTGTTCCGCGGTAGCATCGGGATGCTTATCGGGATGATAGTCCAGCAACTTGCGACGAAATCTTGCTTGAGCCTCGGGAAAGTTATCTACCTGCAGGTCTGTATTGCATTTCTTGGCAGCTTTGTTGGCTTTGTTGGCTTTGTTCTCGTCTGCTGTCATCTGGCGTTGCTCCTCTCTTTCCGTCTCCTTTTCTTCCTGCTTGGTTCGGGGTACAGCTTGCCGGTACAGCAGACGCGCAGTGACATCCATGCCTAATCCACCGAGAAAAGCCCCAATAATCGCGCCAATAGCGCCACCTATCGCGGTCCCAATGATGGGAACGACAGAGCCAATCCACGCTCCAGCGGCCGCACCAGGAATGGCTCCTCCGTAACTTCCCAACGCTCCGAACAAGGATCCCACAAAATGTTCTCCCACATTTTTAGCGCAATCCTTGCCGCTCAATGACTTCGATACCTTCCAACGGTAGATCTCCACACCGCTGAAAATAACAAACATGGCCACGTTCGGTATGGCAGTTAGCGCTGGCTTGTTTAATGTCCCACCGAGACCACCGATCTTGTCGATGATTTGTTCGGCAAAAACGTCAGCCACCGCAGCCAATCCCGATCGTGCCGCAATGGCGTTGTACGAGGGCGATGTAAACGTGGTGACAACCATTTCTTTGACCTTATGCTTAAAATTCATGGCTTCAAATTTGAACCTGTCGGCAGCTTTCAATACAGAATGGAGATCTTGGTCTTGGAACAACTCGATAAACAGCAGGTTGTACTGTCTCTTGGTCAGGTCGTCCGCTGCACGCTCCAGTTCTGCCAAAGTCAGGCGTCCCGCTTGTAGTTCTTGGATTTTCGCTGAAACAATCCGATGATCGGCAAGGGAGGCTTTGTGGAAAGATTGATTAGGTGCCGTACAGCCATATGGAAAAGGGTCCCCCGAATCGTGAATATGCAGAGCATCGGCGACTGTTGTAGGACGGAGCTGGACTGCAGTACTGTCCTCCGTTTCATTCACATCCGAGCCTGGACAATTAAAAGGACAGATCCGACGCTCCACTTTAGGAAAACACGTAGAGCAATACTGGCGGTGATTACATGGCTTGAAACGGATGGTGGCTAGACGCTCAGTGCAAGCAACGCATACGTCCTCCATTTAGGCAAATGTTATTGTAGATGCAGTAAAGACCTGCAATTATGACAATCGCACCATGCTGACGATGAAAAGAGGACTTACATTGGAAAAGATTTTGTGAAGATTTGTATTCAGTATTCAAAAAAAATACATCCAGCATGCGCTTCTGATCAAACGAACCTAGAATAAAAACGAATCTGGAAAGAAAACTCCAAACGGTCTTCGGTAAACCAATGAGTGACGATCCAAACTGTACTACATAGGTACTGTAGTAGGTACGCGATGCAAACATGAACAGGAAACCTTTACTTGTAGCATTACGCACTACTACCAATTGCTGGATTTACAGACGATGCGTTTTCCTGTGCGCCGGTAGCGTATACAGTGTTTTTATACTTTGTACAGTACTCGTAGAACATACGGTATTTACTTAGGTACAAATGTACAATACATGACTGTGGTTAAAATTCAAAACGTGTAGAACCGGAAGGTGTTGTTGTTATATTATATATCAAAGTCAACAGGTGCGGTCATGTTGTAAACGCAGCTTATCAATCTGTAATGTACAGTGTGTACAGCGATGTATGTAAGTACTTGTACTGCTTTACTCTATAGCTGCTCGTTTCATTATTGGTGCGTTTTATCAAAAACTGTTTATCGAATTCTCATTGTAGTTACTTTATTGTCTCATTCTTTGTTGTTTGTTGATGTAAATATTGTAGAACATGTATGAAGACTTCGCTGATACCCAGTTCATAAAAATATATCATGCAAAAAATCACTGCCACAAACATCGAAATGTAAAATAATATCATGCTAGTAGCTTGTTACATCTCTTTTACTTTAGAAAAATACAGAACATTGGCACAATACATGTACGTATATTCGGACGTCCATATTGACAATAATTTGTACTATTGTACTACCTATGTTTATTTGCGTCTTCCAACCAAATCCAATAAGGCCGTTTTGTAATCAGACGAGGTCTCATCCTATACAAAACGATTAATTATACGGATATATACGAGTATTTATTTAAAACACGTTCAAAAGCTGAAAAACGTAGTTAGTTTCAGACGCTGATTTAAAATCGTACCTCGATGCACGTTTCCAAACTTTTATGGGCCACCTTTCGGAACTGATCTTTAATATTGGCCAAATCGTTTTCCGACCGCGATACAATAACCCTTATTACGGTGCGGTCTTTAACTGGACGCTTGAGCGCTTCCGCCAACCGGAAGGCAAAGTATTCTTCTGCATTTAGTATAATGTACGCTGTAATTAAACACCAAACTTTAATCCGCTCAACGTTTCGTTTAAATAGTTATAAAAATTGCACAGATGACACAAAAACTTGTATATATTTACAACATTTATAGCACATACAGACATAACATAAATATTTATAACAGTCTATATAACGTACATTTTAATTTTCGATTAACACTTTCCAAAAGAAATTGCACATACGCATGTAGCGCAGAAGCGGACATGCCGTGTCAATCTGTACCGAGTACATGGCGTTACGCGAAAGCATTAAACATGCTTTATACATAATTACTGCATCGTGTCAAGGGATTCTTGAAATGTTGTGAAATACGCACGGAAACTATAAAATGCCATGCTAATAATTCATGACAAGCCTACATAATTATGGATCAACGACCAACTTTTTATTAAAAAATAGTACACCGATCAGCTTACACCGATCAGATTAATACTATACTGGCTTCCTAACTTGGAATCTTTCATAAATAATTTTCATAGACTAACCAAGCGTGCGAAAAGCTTTTGCGGCATCTCCACTCATCTCGGATTTAATAGCGTCGAGAATGTCCATTTTTGCGATCATTTTGAACTCATGGAATACCTTCCAAAGATGGTCCATGCTGCGTTGGGAAAATATCTCTGTGAATTTCGCCATGTTGGTTCCTAACCGATTCGGGCCGGCATCATACAGCGCTTTGCCGTCATCAATTGCTTGATTCGGATTATAGGAGGTGCTGTTTGCATCCCGCTTTCCCTAAATTCAGCGCAGATTTTCAAATTTCCATTTATAATACGTAGTCTATTACGATTGTAACAGCGCTCGTTTTAATAAACTTTATGGTGCGGAATCAGTTGTGTGGTAACGGGGCAAATGTAGCGAAGCTGAATGCCGATGGCAAGCGGTTTAACGCGAAACGAATCACTTACTTAATGCAAATTACTAACAATATATAATAAAGTATCAAAACGTAATACCTACACCATGGAGTGTGGAGTATTTACAAAAACTACAGTCTATTCGCTTCAAAACTGCAACAGCATGAAATAATATTCAATGGGCTATAATGTCGTTCTACACTCACCGCGGCAATGGCCAGCAAAAGATTTCGGAAATCACCGGAAGTATCGTTCTTGATTGCCGTAGAAAGGGGCACTTTAAACACTATCAAACAAATTCGGTACTCGTACGCAAAAACGTTCAACTGACAATTTCTTGCCGCCGCGATTATCTAACACCGTACGTTCAAGGTAGGCCTTGTCAATATTGTGCAGTTCCGAGTTTGTCCTGGTGAAAAGTATTTCCATTAGGAGATCTTCGTCTGTTCCAATGCCCTGAACAAACGAAGTGTTTAGAAAAGGAAATCAGTATCACGATCAATACTCGTGCGTTTGCATGTACTAGTACCTTATGTACGGCGGTATGGGGGATAATGGAGCATATTATAAATATAAACGTACAATATCTATGTTTGCACGAGTACGTCGATATTTTATGAAACGGTAAAATTACTTAGTTAATTTTATCGTTAATTCGGTTGTACCATCCTCCATAAAGCAATATCTGAGCTTACCATTAATTATAATTACAGTGGCTACTAATTTTTAAAGAGCAACGCTTGTACAGTACTATAGAATCGCAAAGTAACAGTGAACAAAATCGAAAACAATTATGTTTCTTTGTTTCTCTACAAGGTAAATATCGAAACGGTTGTTTATTTTACTTTCATAGCATAATTCAGATCCTTGGCATCGCTGACTTCCGGTGACTGAATTAACGCTTTTAATAACCTGTAGTAGTCGCCCGACGTGTCTGACTTCACATCCGCCAGCAAACTCTGCAAGTACACAGAGGTATTAAATTAATAAGCAAACTTGACCGCCAAATCAATTAATTTTAATTTGGTAGTTCGAACCCTACCAGTCGTACGTATAATTGTGTGTCATTGTACGGGTTTATTAAACAACAGCAGGCAGTTAAACAAAATCTGGACCTGTACGTACCTTGCGATATTTTTCCTGATAGGCGCGAGATATTTCTTGACGCTGCTTCCATACTCTGGCCGTTAAGATGGATGTTAGTTGCTTTTCGTCAGTGCCTGTTTGATAGATATCCATTAATATTAATGGATTTAATGGTAAAATATGAAAGTTATATTTACATATAGATAATTTTCCAAATAATTTGCTTGATTTATTTTACGCAAACGGTCAAAGTGTCATGACCAAGACAGTTGGCGCGGTACAGTCTGTATTGTTCGATAATCTATAATTTCATATCGTTTGCCGTCAGATCTTTATACGTTTTAGCAGATCTACGATTCTACACATACAGCAGCAAAACCTGGAATCTACGACGACAAACCTAATCCTTTCATGGACTTGTAGAGTCCATCCGCATCGGATTGTGCATTAAAGGGAGAGTGCGGATGCAACGTCGGACGAGCCGGCATTTTTCTTCGCTTTCACGAAAGGGAATATTGCAACAAAAACACTGGAAATTGTCCGGGATCAATGGCTTCAGTCGCAAATGTTGGAATATTACTCTGCACGAGTTCTATACAAGTAAAAAATGGACAGTCTGCAACTGTTACGATCGTAGTCAAAAAATTAGAAACCATAACAATTCTTTGTAAACATACCAGAACTGCGAAGTGTCAAGAAACATGTAATAAATAATTCTCCTTATTTGCGCTACACAAGTAGCAAAGTAGCGGCCCATGATTTGGCGAAATATTCAGATACCTTATTGTTCAGAGTGTAAAAATTGCCCTCCAGACGATTATTCAGCGCGCAGAGCGTGACAACACTTACAGATCATCCAGGAGCTACAGTTCCGCAAAACTGCCGACATGTGCACTAAATTGTTTGTACAAAACGTGGATACGTACGTACGGATCGGCGTAAAAATATGTCGAAGCGCACGGTTCGTCTGCTGGCAAAATATTGTATGAGTAATAAGAAATATTAATATGTTGGTGCCTGCGGTGGTTTAAAAATGTTTCATGTGTGTAATACGGCTGTGTCTAATCCGTTATAAAACATATGTACTTGTTACATAATCGACCAGTACAGTACGCATAATAACTATCATAATATGCATTATGCCCAGCGCCTCTGTCTACACACTTTTAACCATAAACTTTTTTCATGCATATGATAATCATGTTCGCGTATTATTACTCGTCATGCTCCCAGCAGCGAATTTGCATAGTTGAAATTTAACAACTATAATACTGGTTTTTTTCTGTAGTACAGTCATATAATAGTATTCGCGATTGTGAAAAAAACGTACAACGAATGAAAATTAACAAAAAACTTGGATATAAATTTTAAGCAGACTAGTAAGTGTATAGTTAATTCAAACCAAGTTGTGAAAAAGCGCTTACAAAAAATCGCTGCCGGATTCTCCTGAATGGGTCCGTAAACGCTTAGTTCTTTGATGATGCAATTTTGTCTCAAAGTGTATAGTGTAATTCCAAAGTTCTGCGCTTCAGTAACCATGCATTACGTACCGGCAAAGGGCTACATTACATTAACATTTTCGCTTACAACTTCGTTTAGAAGTGTCAAGAATTGTAGTAAAATGGCAGCATATCGTATTAATCGCTTTCGACAAAAGCGCTGTGGATTAGCGTTTTGCGGACTGCGCATGAAGTGAAAATTTAGCGTTCTTTTTATTCTTTTTCAGTTTTTTTCATACTCCTAGTGACACTTCTGCGATGGTCGGGGAGATGATGTGGATTACTTACAAAATTAATGATAATTCAGACCGCTGATTTCACCAAATTCGGGTACAATGATAATGATAATTTAGTTTCTTTGCCGTGTTACTTGCATGTTCATCGGGGAAATGTTGGTACGTATCGGTACGTATACTCGCACTTCCCTGCAGTCATTTTTTTCCATCACTACGTGCAATACCATAAGGATTCTAACGTGTTCAAGGTATAGAACGGGGCAAACAAATTAAAATGCTTCCTACATGATGGTGTCCTTTACGGCTTGAATTTTTATAATCTGTTATGATAATTATGTGACATTTCGTACATATGTGAACTATAGGCGTTTTAGTCACCTTTCGAGGAACGCCGGTTAATTTTGCCAGTCGTCGGTCATATGAATTAATTTAATTCAATTCAATTGTCCAACACCAAAAAATCACATACAAAATCAAAAACAATAAAACGGTTGTAGGGGAATCGAAAGAAAAAACACCAATCTACGTAACCAGCGGATTACTCTGACACGTTGGAATATAGACACTGATTTGGGAAAGTGTGCATAGCTGTAACAAACAGGGCAGACTGCTGCAGTCAGCGGAAGATCTTAAGGAAGACGGGATTTGGGCAGTTTGTTGCCGGTGTGGGGCTCGGGTACTTCCGAGTCGCAGTTGCGGGTGTTGAGGAGGAAGGCCCGCGACACCTGCACTGGCTCATCCACCAGCGTCATGTTGGGCAGCAGTTTGTCGTCCCATGGCTGGCCGTCGTACGAACCGCACAGACCCATCAGACCGTTCTTCCAGAACGGCGACGGCTGTAACGAAAAAAAAGACAGTATGAATATTGAGAAATTAATTTTGAGTGATAATTACTGTTCCTGTAACATGTACTGACTGACAAATAAATTCGTAATATATGATATAAAATAGTTTCACGATTACCAAGTCTTATGAGCACACAGTAAAAGTGGTTTAACGGTAACTGGATGCAAAGACCGACTTATTAAATAACACAAACTGATCAAACTCCTGCCCATATCGCTTTACATTGTCGTCTAGAAACTGTAGTATAATGGCACTGTATCCGGGCGGCCGCAAATCAAACTACGTACTGCAGTTCAAAGCATTGCCCAATAAGACACAGCTACAGCTACCGTAAAATACAAACGTTATCCTGTTAACTTTTTTAATCTATTATCAATAATTAATTATGTAGTGGAAGGAACTCTAGCAACACAAACGCACAGAGAATTACTACATCAAAAGTAGTCGCCTTTAGGTTTGCATATCTCACGTTCGAATATAACGAACTGTGTTATGCGGCATGCTACGCTTTGCACTGAAAGTTTTATAGCTGTCTATAATATTTCATAATTGCTGGATATATCAATGTATTGTTGCACAGAAAAATTAATAAAAATATTGTATGCCGTACAAAATTGATAGACTGTAGCCGAATTCGGCCAATGAAATTGTACGTACCACAACGGTGACACTGGAGCCGTCAAAGAGGACCTTGATGCCCATCGGTCGGGAGAAGATGGCCAGGATGGGCTCCTTGTTGCCGGATTCCTCGGGCTTGATGAGGGTGATACCGGCCAGTTCCTCCTTGTCCTCGGGCATGTTGGGCGGGATAGTGGTGTACTTCTCGGGGGTCATGGCTTCGCGCAGCTCCTGTCCGTTGTACTTGACGACGAAGGATTTCAGGCTGGGCGGGCTCTGGGGCGATCCCGAGACGGGGCCGGTGGGCAGGACTTCGATCTTGTGGTCCTTGAAGATCACCGCGACTTTCTGTGGAAGAACACAATTTCATAAGAATCAAGAGACAAATAAGAAAACCAGGACTAGTGTACCTTGGCAATGGTGTTTTGCCGGCAGCAGCAACCAAAACAGCGAACAACTTCTCATCGGTGGCATCCTTGGCCAACACATGCCAGCATTGGCTCAACGGCATCTCATCGGATACTTCATCGAAGGTCTTGATCTTGGGGCCCGAGATGGTGCAGGCAGCTGCAAAACAAGATTTTTATTAGCAATTTAATCTAGTGTTAATACATTATTGACAAATATCATTATAAAGGCATAAAGCTTACTAAACGTATAAACACTGACAATTTGATACGTAACATATTGCTGTTAAATTAACTCCGAATAATGACTGATAACCCGGTTAATGATAAACCCTAATAAAATCGAATAAAGTAATTTTGTCCAAATTACTGCATAGCTGAGTGTACTTACGGTACATGGCAAGACCGACCAGACGGGCGGGCGTCCAGGGCACCAACGCACTGATGGGCTGCACATCAACCGGCAGATCGATGTTCATGATGCTGACGTTGCTGCGCGGGGTCTGGTATTTGATGTCCATGTAGCTACGGTCGGCGGAGAATTCAATCAGCATGTTGACACGGTTCTCCGGGTTGTGGATGTCCACTTCCTTGGTGTCGGTGTTCCAGAAATATTTGAATTTCACCAAGCGTTCCAATTTGGACAGAACGTTTCGGACGGAGCGAGGCACCTAGTACGTAATAATTACATTAAAATGTAGGCGAACCGCATTGCTTAATCAAGGATCTCAACGCACCTCTTTGTATTCGATGTCGAACTTCAAGCGGAGGAGATCGCTGTACCAGATGGCAAAGTCAACGCATTCCTTGCTGAAGAAAGCGCCGCGCTGACGGTCTTCCTCGCACTTTTGTACATGGAGTTGAAGAGGCCTTCACCTTCGCGGACTTCGTGGGCGATGTCCAGGGGGACAGGGATGCCGTTCTCGTCGTAAAGGTCATACTTCTCCACTTCCATCTGTTCCTTGGTCTTCTGGTAGCGCAGACGGAGTTTGACGTACTTCTCGCTGCCGCACTCATCACCCCAAGAGGCTTCAAGCTGCAGAGATAACCATGACCTTTACAGCATATGCAAACACTGACTGCTTAAATTTATTAATTTTTTCAAACTTAAATTCTGAATTTGTTTGGTATTATTGTGAGTTCTAATTACCAATCAGAACACACTTAGGTACTGTAAAAACAAGCGTGACCTTTATATATGCCAACTTATATATCAGAGAGCTTTATATATCCATACATAAAGTTTTACTTACACAGATATGTTTTGAGTAATTTAAATACTCTGTTTTTAAGCGATGATTTTCAACCGAAAAGAATGACTTACGTTTCCTTGGACGGATTTGTTGAGGGGTTCCTGAGGAGTCATGAACCACATGCCGTTGCGTTCGGGCTTCTTGACTTCAGCGGTCATGCAGAACTTCTTGGGCAGAGTGGGCACTTTGCTGTTCATACCGGCGACCAGCTTGACAAAGCGGCCGTCCACGGAGTAGATCAGGGCCATCAGACCGCGGGTGGTCCATTCCTGGGGATTCTCACTACCCTGGCTGTTGATCAAGAACTGCAGGGAGTGACCCATCTTGGGGCGTTTGTCCATTTCGGGGGTGGGGGTGTCCTTCAGGGGGATATCGGCGACCTTATCCTTCAACTTGTTCAACAGCTCCTTCTCGGAGTGGGAGTGGGTGAATTCGCTGCGCTCGAAAATGGTCAACACCAGCTTCTTGTGGCCAGGGTTGGGGGTGACCTTCAGCTCCAGTTCGCACTTGGCACCGACGACCGGCAGGAGAGCGGTGGGGATCAGGGTGTCGGGGTACTCCATCTTGGACTTGAAGTCGATCTTGGCGGCGATGGATTCATGGCCCATCTGTTGATTTAAACAACAACTTGATTAGCCATAAAATATTGCAAAACAATTTAAAAATATTATAGTTAATTCAAATCTTTATCCGCTTTGGCAGATTAATCTGTACAAGTTATTTCATAGCGATTTAAAAATATTTTTTAACAAATCGGAACCAAATGTATCTATTCGGCACTTCTGCAACTGTAGGTTTATGACTCGGTAATCTATTCGACATGGCCGTACTTAGCCACCGCACTACACCAATCACCAAGCTACTTACGGCTCGAAGTTAAGTATCGTAATTCGTAATTGTAATACTCGTATTATGGAAATTTTCTGACAAAAAAGGAATTAAATCAGAACTACTTTGCAAGTGCGAACTAAAATAGCCGAACTGCATCAACAGAATCTGTTGATTTAAATAATTTGATAAATCTGTTTACTGACTAATAATCAAATCAACGAATCCACATCTGGAACGCAAGTGATTTTATCTTTTAGAAGTACATAGTTTAAAATGAACGTAACCACTATCCACAACGTTATAAATAACTTCGATAAATAAATTTTAATATTCTAGAGTGAAAATTATAACATACCTGGAAGTGGACCTTGCGGGACTTGACGAACATGGGCGTAGGGATCTCCCACATGTCGAGGGTCGGCAGCGGCAGACCCACCAACTTGGACATAATGACGTGTCCGGTACCGGTGATCAGAGTGGTGCGGGCATCGGTGATGTTGACCTTGACGAAGCCTTCTCCGTGGGGGCCGTGGGGCAGGGGGCGGGGACGCGACGACATCTCGACGGACTCCTCGCTGCTCTCGTGTTCACCACGGGGATGGGGCGCCAAATGACCAGATGGCACAGGTTTGGGCTGGTAGGTGGTGGGGTTCTTGGAGTAGTGGAGCACGTAGGTCACCGGGTAGGAGGAGATGTTGACCAGTTTGAAGGGGGTCTCCGGCATGTCCAGGACCAGTTTGGTCATGCGGTCCTGCATGTTGAACTCGAATTTGCCGCTGATGGGAGCGTTGAAGCTCAAGCGGGTGCGGACACCGGTGCCGATCTTGAAGAAGCCGAGGTACACGCTCATCTTGGTGTGGATCTCTCCGGCGATACTGGTCTTGACGTCGCTTTCAACCAACAGCTACAAGGCAAAGGCAAAGGATATATGAAATCGGTCATGATTTGCTACTCCAAAAATTAAAAAGAAACGAAACGATCTGGCATTATAATTTGTAGCCAAACGATTCCCAAAAAAACCTTTTATCGAGATTATGCAGCTTACATTTGTAGTAACAAATCAGCCCGCTTCTGAGTAATTTACCGATAAGACAATGCAAGAGCGGTATCACTACACTACATATTCCACTTATGTACCTATTTGATTTGATGTGATCATTATTACGGTTTTAGGATATCCTTAATTTCTAATACGTAATCGCAATATTATTATTAAGTACGAATGACATAAAAAATATTAAAAATAAATGTAATATTTAACTTTAATGTCTGGCTATTTAGTTTTACGCTCGTAGCCAGTAATGCTGTTTGACGCCGGTGACCTTTAGGATTACCTTGTGGGGAGCGTTCTTCAGCATGCTGAATCCGGCGGCGGGTTTGGGTTCCATATGGACCTTGAGTTTGCCCTTGATGGAGGCCACAACGGGGGCGACGATCTTGGTGGAGATGGGCACACCGACGATGGTGGGGAAGTCGACGCGGACGTCCATTAAAGTAGTGGCACGGCGCTGGTCCATGGGGAGCCCTTCACCGGTCAGTTTGGGGATCAGGTTCTGCGAGCGAGTGATCACGTCGACGATGGTGCGGCTGATGGTCTGCGGGTTGATGACCAGGAAGCGGGTCTGCTGGCCGAACAGCTTAAGGTAGGCGGTGCCGCGGATGTCCTTGGGGGGCTCTGGCTGAACGTTGAGCATCTGGTCGATCTGTTCCAGATCGGGGACCTGGCTGTCACCCGGGGTGGCACGGGGGCGACGGGCAGCGCGGCCGCTGAGGATCTCCTCCACGGCTTCACGGCTGTAGTTGCCGACGTACTTGCGGATGGCATCACCGAAGCCTTCGGTTTCATAGCCGAACTAGATACAAAAATCCCGTTATTGTTATCCTGTTAACCAGGAAGTGCTGCTTAATTGCTAGACGTACTTCGATCAGGTCAAATGACTTCTCCATGACGGTGGCGTGCAGACGGAAGTTGCCGGAGCGGGGGATCGGGGCATCGCTGTCCATGACGTGGTTGATTTCCCAGAAGAGACCGCGTTTCATATGGTCGATGTATTTGCCGCTGTGAACAGATTTGGAGTGGCGGATGTCGCTGTTGACGGGCTTAGCGTGCTCCAAAGCCAGGATCAAATCGCGGGTCCTAACATTACAAAGGTCGTCGATGTTTGAATGCAGAACATTCCGACTAGCAATAAAATTCATACAGCGACGGCTGTATTTGGTTAAAAAATGCTCACAGTGATGTTAATATTTTAATTACAGTATAAAAATAGAATTCGATTTAATTTTTTAGTAACAAAACTGTGTCGGTATTGCGAAAATTTTAAAAAAAATTAAAAAATTGAACTGAAAAATTAACACTTAAAATTTAAAAAAAAGTTGAACTGAAAAACTGAAAACAACTTGGCAAATAATAAAGTAACACCAGAAAATTAAAATAATTAGTCTGATACTAGAATAATTAAACGTACTTCTAGTAGAAAACTTCAATAAAAAGAATTAAATTGATTGCAAGTAGTAAATGTTTAACGTACAAGTTCTTGAGGCACGGGTGGGTGCTGTTAGCCAGCGAGGTCATGGCGGAGTAGGTGTAGCTGGCCACATCCAGATCGATTTCACGGTTGAGGCTCTGGGCAATATCCTCCAAGATGGGCAGGTCGGGACGGGAAGCCAGGATGGTGACGAGGGTGGCAATGCGGACCTGGGTGGGCTGGTTGGTGCGGCGGTACAGTGGCAGCAGGTAGTTGTACACCATCTCGGGGTAGTCGGTGGCGGTGTACTTGAGCGCGTAGATGGCCTGGGTGCGCACGTACGTCGGCAGGGCGTCGTCCTTGGCGATCTCGATCAACTCGTCGATGGTCTCGTTGACACCCATGTTGCCCATGATCTTAATGGCCAGGATCTTCTTCTCATCGGAATCGGCGTTCTTCAGCATCTCGGTCACTTTCTGCAAGATAAATTGAGTGAAATTAACATTGTCAGAATTCCGGCTACAACAATAAACTAACCGCCCGGTAAGAACTCGCCAGGTTACTTATTACAGATAATAAAACTGTGTTTCACGACACATACAGCATCACTAAAAGTAAAAGCAGTGATGATACATGTAGTACCAGGGCGTATATTATCTTTCTTCTACCGATCTGTAAGCAATGCCCAGATTGTAGCATCATTGTTTTGAACAAACTGGAGCAAATCCAGTAACTGTCACATCTCCAAAAAAATAATTTTTCAAAGAAATTTTGCGACAAACAAATTTTAATGCAAAAATAAAATTTACAATAAAAGAAAGTTTTTAACACAAAAACAAGAGCACTGGGAACTGTTTTGAGAAATAAGTAAAACATGAAAAGAAATAAGTAAAACAAAATCCATAAATGTCAGTCAACCAAAGAGCAAAAAAGCTAATGAAAAATTATGGAGGGAAAACGCAGTACACAACCGTCAGAAATGTTAACTCTTGATATGTTAGCAGGAAAAACCTTTGATTAGGACTACAAAAGGTCAACATACCTGGACGACACGGTCACGGGTCTCCGGGGGGCATCGGGGCGGCATCTCGTCGTTGTACTTGGGCTCACCGCTGCGGGAGGGGGTCTGACGGGGTCGGCGGGCGGGCAGACGACGGCCGGGTTCGGAACCGGACGGGCGCTGGTTAGCCTCCTCCATGACCTCCAACCAGGTCTTTTCGCCGTACCATTTGTGCTCGCAGGCCTTGTGGACCAGGGTGCCAAAGGACAACCAGCAGGCGCGTTCGACGAAGGGATCGTTCTTCAGATCCTCATCCTCGCACATATCCATGTACTCCTCGATCATCATCTGGTTGATCTTGTCTGTCTGCATCTTGAAGGGCATCAGCGCCAGGACATCCTGGACGACGGGGCCTTCCAGCTGTTTGTCGGTCAACAGGCGTTTCAGGTAGGTGAAGGTGCAGTTGCTGCCGGTGGCCACCAACAGATCGGCAAACAGGTGTCTGCAAGACGGACACCGAATTTTATATGCAACAGATAAAGCGGCATGTATAGTATTATTTATTTTTAAAAAAGCGTCGGATTAAAATAACTGCATCTCTAACATTACGATAGGTACAGTACGTACTACGTAAGTATTTTTCTAACGATAAATATCTACAGTATATACCATATAGATACGGCTGCCAAGCCGGGAATATTGTAAAGCGATGTAGTATAATGGCAAGGAAAGAACAGACTAGTGAGATCAATTCTCAGTGCAGCATATCATAAAAGAGACGTAAACGTATAAAAAAAAGTTAAAAACTTAGGTAACACATTTTTACATTGGTACACTTTTTACCATTGGTAAGTACACTTCTATACATAGCCCTGTAAAGTTCATTCAGAAATTATTTCTTAACTTACTCAATTTCCTCCTTCTGGACGCCGGGGGCGCTAACGGATTTGATGGCATTGTGGATCTGCTCGAGTTCCTCAGTGAAAGCCTTGTCGAGGATACGGACAATGTCCTCCACCAGGACGCTAATGTCGGTGTCGATTTCCATGGTCTTGCCGTCGCGGGGTTCCATGCCGTGCACCAATTTCTCAAACAGAGCCTTGACCTGCGATAATCAATATAATTAATAACTTCTGACGAACAAACCATCCGACAACGATATAAATTCAGAAAAGTAGACAAATGTGATTTTGCTTCAATACAAGTATACGACTTATGCACATCTCCGGCATCGTGAACGATTAAAATTTACTATTTTAATCGTTTCTGAACAGTTAAACATTAAGAATGGGAAAAAACGAAGAAAAGATTTAAAATAATAAAACGAATTGCTGGCTATTAGGCTTGAATGGATATTGCATTCTGTTTTCATGCTTACAAGCTAATAAATCACAATAATATTAGCTGACCTTTTGGGGCTTCTGGGCGATGTTGGGCCAGTATTCGGGCTTCTGGGGCATGGGCTTGTCGGTCTCGGGGGCATCGAGGAAGACCTTGTCGCCTTCGCGTTTGAGGAAGTGGGCGTTGATCATGTGGAGACCGTCGATCTGGATGGTCTTGCCCTCGGGGAAGCGGATGGGTTCCTTGATGGAGCCGGATTCGATGAGGACGGTGGTGACGTTGGCGTAGGCCACCATGGAGCCGGCGTAGTGGGAGCGGGGCGTGATCTTGTAGACGGCCTCGCTGACGGCGGCGTCGATGATGTACTGCTCCTTGGTGCCGGTGATGTTGTAGCGGGTGTGGGCGGACGATTCCAGCAGGTCGAACTGTACGGTCAGAAGCAGCAGGCGTTAGTATAAGCGCAATAAAAGCAATCGAAAAATTACATTTAAAAAGTTCTATTTCATTGGAATCTCCCTCAGTCATATCGGTACCGCGAAGTCATTTGCAAATAACCGATTAATATCAGCATCGTTATATATGACCGGCAAAATAAATTGCTGGAATATTTGAAATGCTAATAAATGCTATAATGCACTGTAATGCTACGAGTACAGGCAATGGTAATGCTATGTTTAAAATATAACAATTAATTTAAATGAAAACATTGCATAATAAAAAATTGTAAAATATTTTTATAATGTGCACTTACGTAGCTTTCGGGATCCTCCTCGCAGTTGGGGCAGGCCGTGGTCAGATGGAGTCCCTTGAAGACGAAGGGGCGGAATTCGCAGTTGCGACGATCAAAGGTCTTGGTCACGTTCAGGACGGGCAGTTCCTCGCGATCGGTAGGGACGGAGCGGGGTCCGCGGGATCCACGGGGCGACTTGCTGTTGTCACGTGGGCGGCCACCAGGCTGCGGCGATCCGGATTCGTACTGACCGGCATTCTGCATGAGCTCGTCGATGGGGTAGACGCTCATGTCCTCATCGGGGATCTCCATCACCAGGTAGGACACCTCGCATCGGCCGGCGACACCATCCTAAAGCACAGCAAACATGCGAAAATAGTGCTAAAGATATTACTGAAAATATAATGTAACCAGAGCAGACGTGGTACTGTTAAAAACTTGACAGCTTGTTAATATTAGACGGACTGTCATATTATTCGTAGTGCGATGGCTTAAGCCCGGCTTCTAGCTGGAAGACTAACAAACGTTAAAAGCTTCTTAACCACTTTAATATGTACGATCGATAATAACCAACAAATTTTTTATTATTACACAGATGTTTTTTTTTAATTTAGTGTTCAGCGGATGTTGCAAGTAATTGCAACCCGGAACACTGGCAAAAATTATAGAAACAAATGTATTTTAAATAAAATATTAATAACCATCGGGTTAACTATATCAGATACAGCTGCGTAATTTACGCTTTCAGTATACAAAAAAATTATGGGCAGCGAACCAGCCACTGACCTCAACGACGGTGAAGTATTCGGAGTTGTCGCGTTCACTGCTGGACTTGGAGGACTTCTTGCCAGATGGTCGGGTGACCTCGTTGCGGGATTCGGGGTTGAGTTTGGACAGCTTCTCGCGGCGGACTTCATCGATGGGCTCCTCGCGGTCGGTCAGCGACAGGTGGAAGGTGGAGATGATGGCACGCTTGATGTTGATGGACCAGGTGGGATCACCTTCGGTCACTTCGAAGTCGTTGATCTACGACCACCAGTATATATAAACAAAGGTCACATTTTTACAATAAAGTTATGTTGGATTATAACAGCGGTATGAAAATGAATGCAACCATAACGTTACAAATATGTTTTATGTAGCCATTAAATATTTTATAAGAAAGGTCACGTTTTTAAACTGAAGTTAGATGGCAGATTATAACAGCGGTACAAGATAAATGCAACCATACGCGGACTGCTATTTGCCGAGCTTCGAATAACCTACTAATGCATACCTTGCCATTCTCGTAGCTGAAGCGGACTGGTCGGCGGAGGACTTCCTCGAAGGGGGCATCCTCGGGCTTGACGGGTTCGAAGGCGCTCAGTTCCACAAGGGTTTGCGGGTCAGAGACAAAGCGCTCATGGAGAGATCCCACGAACACTTTCTCAATCTGCACGAAGCAAACAGAATGTCTTATTACCATGCAAACCTCCTTACCGTAGCGCTGCTACCAGTAAACGCCATGCGGAATACATCAGCCAAAAGTGCGTAAACGAACACGTAAAACTGACGAGAGTATAAAATGCGCGTGTCACAAAAAAGGTACGAATTAGCAAGAAAATATAATATAAAATAATTATATAGATATTCAATTACAACGTGTATGGTAGTTACATCGACTGTAGTTGTATGCTTTCGTAGGTAGTGCAGTGGAGAAATTTTGAATATATTCGTCAATTATCTTAACGACAAACCGTTAAATCGAACTGCATTCAACTATAATTTTTTTTCTCCTTCAGAATAAGAAAAAGCTTGTTTCTTTTATTTTGCTCACCTGCATGAGGTCCTTCTGGCCGGTCAGCTGGATCTTGACCACCGCGCGGATGCGGGCGCCGGAGAACTGGTAGTGGACGGAGGGCATGCCGGTAAGGATCTGGCTGTCGTACAGGTAACGGTATTCGCCGCCATCCTTGAACAGGCGCTCCTTGATCTTAGGGTGGCTGATCTCGGGGAAAAAACGACTCCACTCCTCCTCCACGTGGTTCTTGGGCTGGTGTTCGCGGGAACGCAGAACACTGGCCGAACCTAATAACGACGCACACAACACTGGACAAACCACAGACAACGTAAAGTAAACTAACAAAACGTAAAGTAACACCATTAAATTACGACGGACAGGCACAAATTATTGTCATACCAAGTTCAGTTTTAAAAAATGTAAAACACAACCAAATAAGAAATTGACGTTTATGCTTATACGAATGATTATGCAGCATTTCCGTAAAAATAGTGAACAGCGTTTAACAGTGAAAATTTGTTGACTAAAACTTATATAAGCGGCATAAACTAAAGTTAAAATATGAGACTTTTCCAGGAGTTACTGACGAAATGGAAAGCGTTATGAGAACTTATGACATAACACAAGTCAAGTAATATAAAGGTCACATACCACTGACGATAACGGTCACCAAAAGGGCAAGTGTGAACTTCATGGTGATGATGGGCCAAGAATGTCCACAGTCAAAGTAATCCAGTGGAAAACTAAATGGACCGTGTGTTGCTGCCGGCTTTTATATACGAAGTCGGTATTTCAATCTTAAAATCGATAAACATCAGCCGGCAGTCCAGACAATGCCGCTGCATGATAGATGCCGATTTTTTCCTCAATGTCAAGGACATCGGGTTGGGAAAAAAAGCAAAGTGAATGTGTGCCTGGATGCAGTCAGGACATGGTTGACACTTTGCACCACCGTATCTCGGCTGCTGCATGTTCATGGAAATGCCACGAAACGTATATTTTTCGTTTTTCCCCAGTAAAATGCCGACGGGTCGAACACATACCGATAAGGAGGCATATTACTTAATACGCTTAAGCAGTATGCCTCACCATTTAATTGATACATTTTCACATTAGACAAGTCTTCAACAACGATATCATCGGCACTGGGCACGTTGACCTTTGCTTGGTTGGACGCATGGTGGTCTGCCTGGGCCACTTTTCTGAATTATAATTTCGCTCTTATTTTTCGAGTAATTTTTCGTATTACCACAAATACTGTCTTTTAACTCAATTCCAGTTCGACCACGACGAAGAATACGAACGACACTAAGGTATAGATTTTAATAGCATTTTTGTTATTTCGAATCAAAGTCGTAGCGGTCGCAAACGTAACAGTTGTACAGTCATATCTATTAATAATTTGATGATAATTTTTCTTTCACCGCCATACTTTGCTGCTTTTGCTAGTAAAATTAAGGATACTAAAATTTGTTCTATTTTGTTTCAGCTTGAACTGATATTCTGCTAAATATAAAAATTTTTCAACACCAGAGAGGATCAAGTGAAATTCGTTCACTTGCCCTTTCAAAGGCGGAACCAAGAATAATTTTTAAAACGATGCATTGTACATGCAGTAACTTCATAATGATCATTCTAATTTATTGCAATAATGTCAAATCATGCAAGGAAGCACAGATCGGTTACAGTAGTACCAAAGAATGAATGCGAACATAACGACGTGAAATTTAAATAAAAAACTTTGTATGATATGCAAAAGCAGATTAAGCGTCGTCGCAACGAGCAAAGGTCAAGGCTGGCGATTGTTTGCAAGAGAGCGTTAACCTACGATATCCGTAACTGGGAGATGCATCGGTTAATCACTAGCTGAACCTTCTAACAACGATCACTATCGCACATGAAAAACACCCGCCGCATTCCACAGATTCACAGTAAAAACGTTAAAAATAATAAAATAAAAGCTTATTGAAGCCTTATTTAAAAGGGTATTAAAAATCATCTTACCAGTATTAAAACCTTATTAAAAGAAAACTTGAAAAATATTAATTAAATAAACGTCAATCGTAAAGTGCAACAAGGGCGCTTTGTCCACCGGAAAAGGTTCTAATGAATCTGTCTAATAAGAAGACTTTCGAATTTTTAGCGTCTTTAGTTCACTAAAACTGAGAAAGCGTGCATCCAAAATTATACCGATATACAAGTACACTGGTATAAATATACAACGTAACAGCATTATACTGTCTGCGGTCAAATAACGACACATGCGTCCCGTGTTATTCTGCACTTTTATTGCTCAAGTAAAAAAGATGCAGCTGAATAATTTTACAAAAGAGAGAAAGACAGCTTGCAAAGAAAAGAACCCACAGAGGGAAGCAAACCTTTTTTATAAAAAAGCACGACATGATACACCACACTGCAGTGCAGCGGTGACCTTAAATACACGACTAATTTTTGTCTAAATTTTCGCCAGAAACAATAGCAACGCTGCACCACATGTGGCTCGCGCGCTCTGCATGTACAAGCTATGGACAGAGAGAGAAAAGCAAGAGAAAGGTCAGTGTGTAGATCAAAGAAGAGTCTTACAGCATCACTCCACCGGTGTGGCTGTTTAATAGGATTTCTGGTAGGTGGTCTGCTGGTATGTAGTCTGCTGGTACTGCGGCGCCGGTGGCTGGTACTGCTGCGAGTAATTGCCGTACTGGCGGTTAGCGTAGGCGTTGTACGTGGTGTTCTGGTACTGCTGGTTCGGCGCGAACTGGCTGTAATCCTTGCAGGTACGGTAGTCACCGGCTGCGTAGGGGATCTACAAAAAATAAACAAAATCAACTAAAATAAAACGTAGGTAATGCGATGTTTAGTCACATAAATTCTCAACAAATGCGAAGTTATGCTATCCTAACATAAAAGGACAGTCTAAACAGTTAACTCCAACAAATTGTATCCCAAAGAATTTTTCATTAATTTGTTTGGTAGGGACTTCTTACCATCATATCGTGCGTATTAACATGAAGAAAAACAAAGCATTCACAAAAACATGGGAAAATGTTAGAAAATATGCTTAGTTATCAACGTGTGCTTCAATTAGACCAGATGCGTACACAGTGCTTTCGTAGTGCAATGGTGAAAAGTTCCAAGTGCGTAAACATGCATATAAACCAACATGGAAACAACAAATACTTAAATGAAAACATATTTGTTATCAGATTAATTTTACATACTTTTTGCATGCGTAAGACAATATGTCTAAAGTACGCATGGAAATCCAAAAGTTCGGTAAATTGTTAAACAAATCACTGTCAACTCGTAACATACCGTGCTCCAGTACATAGCGAGATCATCTTCCGTGATATCATCATAAGCATTACACGACTGATAAGGATTCCTGTTAAAATACAGCCACATTCAAATATCACAAAACTGCAACAAAATGTCGCACGTTTTTGTCTTACGAGTAGGCATTGGGAGTACGGAATGGATTGGTTGTGACGTAGTCCAAGTTGGTGGTAATACACAGCACCTTGCCCATGTTGAATTTCTTGATAACGTTAATTTGATCTGCAAAGCATACCACATATGAATATGCAATACACAACCGGTATCATCTAAATATAATAAAATATATATAAATGTAATAAACACAAAAATGTATACAAACATATACTAATATGAATATACAATATAAATGGAAATATGCAACCGATGACCATCGAGGCACCCGGTCACAAATTGGACAGTCGGCGGTCAGGTACGCACCGGGTGTGAATCCGTTACGGTCGAAGAAGAAGCGATCGCCCTCGCGCAGATTGTAGTACTGTCGCTGCAGGACACACCCGGCTGTGGGACCGACAACGGCACCCGGCATCGGCTTCTCGCAGATCATGCCCACCCAGGCTTCCACGTTCTTCGGATGACTACAATCACCAACGTATTATTTAATCGGAAAACATTCCGTCAGTATTTCTTTAGCAGCAATATGCTTTCACCTATCAAGCGCAGGCTAAACCACGGATACAGCTTATCAAGATGAGGCATGAAATGATATTATTCCTTATCAATGCAATCCACAGAATTGGCAAAATCGTAAGCTGGCAGAAAAATAAGTACATCGAATCGAGGTTCGCCCTTACGTCATTTAAAAATACACAAAAATTAGCACATCACTATATTGTGGACCAAAAACTGATAAGAGTCCAGCGAAATGGCAATAATATCATTTTAACATGCTCGTATAAGTTAACAATATGGCAATTTTGTGCGATCACAATGCCATCGCACTGCGAATATCACTACCATCGGGGCAATAAACAATCATGTACTCGTATGTTAATTAAATCGAACAGTCTTACACATATACAGTAGCGTCTTTGCACAAAAGTGAAATTCTTCCATATCTTTTTTAAAAAAGCCTTACCCGCTTGGGAAAGTCAATGCACTGGGAAAGTCAATGCACTAAAAACGTATACTTAATAAATACGCCGATGGCAGCCGCCTTTTAAAGACTTTTTCTAGTACTTAATCAGTAATATAACGTTTCGTTAGACACATTGTACAGGATCCACAGAGTAAACAAATAAGCGCCAAGAAACTAACCATACTCCTAGTGGGAGAAGCATACAGTGCCGAACGCAGCCACTTACTAGACAATGCCGGGCAGGGTCTTGAGGCAGTTCTCACTCCAGATATTCTGCAGATCGGCCCAGTCGTTGATGTAACTCATACCGCACCAGTCGCGCACCTGCGAGTACCAGGGCAGACCCCATTCACGGCCGCGCATCTGGTTGACCCAGTGCATATCCATACCCGGTCCGCCGTAGGACGGCACCTTGTTGCGCATCTCGGGTACGATCAGGGCGTCGTAGCACTGCTCGGGGTCGTACAGGGAGTTGGCCACCAGCTCGTTCAGCTTGTGCTTGCTGGACATGAGAGCGTAGCCGCGGTGGAAGAAGTCGTAGATGCCGTACCAGTTGTCCGGCTCCTGCAGGCCCTGCGCGGCCTTCTCGGGCGCCACCACCTGGGCCCAGTGGGAGATGGTGGAGTGCAGACTGCAAAAAGCCAAACACCCTGATTACCGACCAATGGTATACACAACAGGTAACAATAATTACACTTTTAATGTTAATTCCCCATAACCGGATGGCAGCACGTCTGGCTTTAAGATTCTATGTCTCGAAGGTGATTTACAGATTGGACAACTTTTATCGTATAAAACCAAACAAAAAACGTAAAAATCTTCAAAAATTAACAAACGAAAAAAGACATTTTCCGGTAGTCTGGTAAGATATCTCCGTTAATGGAGCGGCTACTGCAGAACGACAATATTCATGATATAATAAGCTGCAAGCAATCTTGCTAGCCGGCGTTAAATAATTACTGATAAAGTTTATCAGTGATTTAATAACACTATTGCAACCGTAACATTACAGTGTTATACACACATCTACAGAATTTAACGCATATTTTTAAACATCTTAATTTATATTATGTTCGATACGAAATATCTGTCAAGCCGGTATAATCGTAGCGCACTGGCACGCTGGATGGAACTCTATTTGCTTTTGGCCATGTAAGCAAAATGCACTTAAACAAAAGCGCAGTTAACGTGCTGTAGATTAACTTAAAATTCGAAATTTTTAATTAGTATCTACCAGCGCAGGCTTGCTGTTCTGTCAGTTGGCTATTGTCCCAATAAAAGTACACAATTAAAATGAACAACACATGCAAAGATGCATGTCAACATTTTTGGTAAAAAAATGTAAAGCTTAACTCATTAAAAGTGTTGCATTATATCGCGGGATAAATGGTTTAAATAGACTAATTATTCCTTACCGTCCAGCAGCGTAGAGGTATTCGGGCCAGACACTAGCGTGCACAGCCGGGTCGTAGGGCAGCACGTAGTCCAGGCTCAGACCGTAGTTGGGATCGTTGGCAACGTACGGACCCAGTTCCACCGGGAGATGCTCAGCGTAGAAGATCTTCTGCCCAATGGCTTGCATCAGACGGCGAGTTTCCTACAAACACACCATTCCCTTTGCTCTACCATTTAGCGAGATGAAAACCGATACAAACAATTATTCACAGAAAGGCCGGACTTTTATTAACATTTACCCACCAATAAAAGGTCACTTCGCTACATGTTTCGTCGCCGGTCATTACGCAGTGCAGTCATACCTGGTAGCAGATTTCATCCAGTACATCTTCCGGTAAATAGTACTTCTCCAGCCATTTAGCGCACGACGAGGCAAAACGGTTGTGCATGCGCATGAACAACTGTTGACAAAAAAGAACCGAAAATAAATAACCATAATGAAAACTTAAATTAAATAATAATGTTGCAAATAACCATTTCAGGATAAAATTTATGCTCGAACGATACTTTACATTAAAGAGAATTTGTCGAATTATACAATGTACATTATGGCTTACTTTTCTCATGCATAATCATAATTAGAAATGGACAGACTGACGATGGACTTACAGTATGCAAAACATACAATCCGGGATGCATGCTGTTACGCGGATCACCGGCCAAATGGCACTTGAGATCGCCGTCGGGATAGCTGATGTCGCACTCATCGGGATTGGGACTGTAGTCATCCGGCAGCAGGACATTCTTGGAGTACAGCCCGTACTTGCCCTTGTTGACGCGCAGCTTTCCCTTGCGCCAGGCACGCACCTTGGCCGCTTCGTAGCAGCTGGCGCCGTACACCGCCGACATGTCAATGTACGAGGTTTGCAGGTTCACCGAGTCTTTCGGAACTATATGCAAGACATACACATATAACAAACGGCCACTGGTAATAACGAAATAGAACAACGCAAACATACAATACACGGACATTTCTAGGCAGGATAACAGTTGTAAATCAAAGGTCAACAGAAAATTTAATAACGAGCCGTACGTACAATACCATCTGTATATGCATCATAGTTCATACTTTATGCTGTACTTAGCTCTAACAGATGATTTACTCGTAAAATTACCATGTATTTTACAAATAATCCAGTCCATTATGGCATTTTTTATTCTTTATTATTTTATGCTCATGCAAAAAATATCTTCCTTTTTAGAAAAAAACGTACTTGGGTTGCAGTAGTCAATGCCGGGCAGATTGTCGGAGAGCTCCTCGCAGACCGGATACTGATTGTATCCATCGGAATACTGGCCGTACCAGGAGTGGCAAGTGTGATGCAGACACTCGTCGCTGATCTTACAACATTCCGGCTTCACTTGGATACCGTTGTAGCCCGTCACCGTGTACGGACCACCTACAGTCGGAAACCACCGTCACTATCACAGCGAAAAATCACCAGTACAAAAACAACTCATTTCTTGGTAAAATCAAATTCTACAAATATCGAATAATTATAACAGTCAATGTATGATTTTTATTATTAATATTACAATTTTCCAATATTTTACTTATATTATTATACTGAATTATTATAATGGTAGTTATAAAAATTTCTCCATAACGCGCAATCAAAAATTCTAAGACAAACTGAGCAACTTTGTTCGAAAGTTGGCCTTACTGCGGGTGATGTCGTGGGCGATGAACTGAGTAAAGTAGGCATGCAACATAGTAGCATCGAGGTTGTAGCACTGGCCGTTCTGCCAGTTGTCCAACGCGTTGGCCATGTACTTGGCATCGGCCAACGGTGTGATCTGCCCGTTGTAATCCGGCCACACGTTGTACTGGTTAGCCTGCCAGATACCTGTAAACATTCATGGTTCCCAATAAACCAGTGCATTGGAAATGCTTCAACTGCCTTAATTACACCGTCACATATCCATTGAGTGATACATTAGAACCAACCAACAAAAAATAAACACATATTATAACCGCAACAATGTGTTTATTTTTTAATATAACCATACCTACAGAGTATTTAGAGAAAAACCCAATATACTTTCTTGTAGTAAGTACATGTGAACAAATAACGCCGAAGTATGTATGATGGATGTACTGCGCAGATGCGTATACGCCGTACAGTATAAAAACTAAATCGAATTTGCGATGACACTTCGAGAAATATCGATAAAAATAAGACTCAACGCGATATATTATTTTGTGTTAACAACTCAGATACCAAGCTAGAAGCTGCGGAAATCGACTTGAATGCAGCCATCACTCTACAATATCGCCATACCTCCGTAGTAGTTCCAGATATCGGTAATACGAATAGTCACGTCCAGCCAGGCGCCCCACGTCGGGTAGCCGATGTTGTTGCAGATCTGGTCCGGCCGGTTGTAGCGCTGATACGCTCCACACTGTCCCTGCCATTGGTTGTAGTTCTCGGCTAAGCAGTCCTGGATAAAGGGCAGCTGGATCTTGTAGGCGTCCAGATTCAACATGGCCTTGTGCAGCACTGACTTATCACCACTAACAAACAACCAGCATCGGTTATACCAGGTTAACAACACCTAACGGTAGGTAATTCACGTTCACAGTACATTTCTACAGTTATCGTATAAACAAATAAATCGGAAAAGATTTAGTAAAGCCAACAAGCAAACAGATACTCGTACACCATGTACACTGAGTGTATTTATTGTATACCATTATTTCTGTAATCTGACACTTCAAATGATTTTTTAAGCCACCCTGATAGCAAACTGGGAAAGGTTTTCTATTCGTACTTACGGATAATTGTCCCACAGCCACTGCGCCATCAGGGTCAGGTATTCGGCTCGCTGAGCATTCCTCGTCTCCACGCTGTTATATGGATTTCCACTGTAACCTACAAATACAGGAAATTGTTTCACAGCTACAGGAAATTATTCCACATATTTTAGATAACCCAGTTCACCAAATTCCCTCGCGTAAATAAACAGTACCGCACCAATCTCGTCCGTACAGGTCAGAAAGTGGACAATATTGAAATTTTATCAAAATAATTCATGTCCAAAATATAAGTAACCTTTCGCCTATTCAAGCCATTACCAAAACTATTTACTATTTTTTTTTAAATTAAGAATGAAACATACGCATCTTTCATAGACGATAGGCATTATTATAATGTTCCGGCGACAGAAGCGACTATAAAATTAATATGACAATGCTCACTTGTAGTAATGTTAAATTATACAGTTTCAACCTACAATATATGGCAGTATATAAGCGAATACTGAACTAAATTCACCAACTAAATGTATTCCAAGAAAACTACTGAAGTATATTTTTGAAAACGGTAACACACTTTTTTCGCCGTGCTGACTCTTACCGCACTTTTGGGCGTTGTTGTAGTAGCGTCCGTTGACGGTGGCGTACTGCCCGACGGCCCACTCCCAGGCCGGATAGATATTGGCATACAGCCAGGCGGCGGCTTCCTGGCTGTAGAGATGCCGGCTCTGGTGCTCGTGATCCCAGTTGTAGGCCCACGGGGGTGTCTGGTAGTAGTTGGCCTGGTACGTGTTGTTCATGTACTTCGGTCCATACGAGCTGTTATAGGGTGCTGCCGGATAACTGGGCTGCCCGGAATAATTCCCATACATACTGGCGCCGCCGGTATAATTCCCGTACGGTGCCTTCTGATACGGCTGTGCACTGCACAGCGCCGCGACACTGGCCACGACGGCCACCGCAAACCGTCCCATAATGACGGATATAATAATTAAGCAGCGGTAAAATAAACGCAAAATAAATTAAGTCTTACCACTGCCGCGACTGAACACCAACTGAGCAACCATCCAACGTTAACCAAAACTATTTACCACCGGTCGCAAGCACCACGCGCACATGGTAACCAGGTCAGAGGAATTGTTTGTTTCCTACTTTATATAATTGCCCCGCGATTATCATCCGGAGGTTTCTATACCGGCAACGCGGGGTAGGGGAAAAAAACACACGCGGCCTATTTGGCCGGCAGGCCGATGACCGGCTTTCTCCCTTTCCTCACCATGCGTTTGCATGTTTGGGCTTTTCAGCAGCGGTGGACTGCGATTAGCCATCGGACCTGGCATTGGTGTTTTGAGGGAATCATCGCATTATGTACGCGCAGATGTAGTGCAGGGTGATTTCTCAATCACACAATGCTGCGTTTTTTTCCCCGCGGCCGCGGAAGGCATTGCAAAAAGCGCTTAGCATGATGGCTGATTGTGTCACTCACTCAGCAACGCAACACGGGGACAAAGGTCACCGGGGTTGTTCATGCGAATGTACGCCGCAACAGTTCATTTGCGTGTGGCGCTAAGTATAACGAACCTTGCTGAATTCTCGTTCGAGCTCACTTCCCGAAAATTGTTTCGACAGTATTAATTAGGTTTTTCCAGTTGAAAAAAACCAAAGCGTACTAACAAATATAAACTTAATAACTTACAGTACCCACACACTTGTCGTAAGCGGTATTCAACTTGTTTTTTGGCTTTCATTTTACAAACCTTTTCACTACAATCGTATATTGTACGAATATTATAACACGTCCAACTAGCGTAGTTAACATGTAAGTATCCACTCCAATTAACCATTAACGCGGCCGATAATCATTTACAAATTCAAAAAATGTACACAAAGCAGCAAACGTCGCAGATTCACTAAGCTCACAAACAACGGTTACAAGCAGCATTAAAATTTTTAAAAATATATGTAGACAGCAAAAATATAAGGTAATTCGTCTGCATGGAAATACTCAAATCTCATTAAAAAGCTAATAAAGTTAAAGTTAACAACAATAAATTTAAAGTTAATATTAATTTCTTCTTCCTGAAGTGTGTAAACAATGCACTAAGCAGAAAAACTGCTTGATTTCAGCTGTCTGATACAATTCGCTATCCCGCAACCTTACTACACGTTCAGTTATCCACGATCAGATGTTCTCCTTCCATCGCTGCCAGTCCACTTCCGGTAGGGCAGTACAGGCTACACGAGGATTTTTTGTACTGAAAAAGACACACATGTGCTATTACTGGCATGCTACATAAAATTCGGCTAATGTTATCTCATTTTATTTCAACAGCATACACATCAGCAATACGGAAGATATCCCGCTGGATGTTAACCAATCCATCCACGTTAGAACACAGAATCCGCGATAAACTGGTCTTCTTGATCTGCTCAACGTGCTCTGCAGTGAAACGCCAGCATAATGATTAAAGTCTACCACTCCACCTAAATTAAAGCTTTAGTCTATCAGATAAGATTTATCCAGACGTGAGCTAAGTCGGTACAGCAGAACATTTAAAATAATTTTTCCAGTACCTGGTAATGTCAATAAAAAAGGGACGGCACTTTACTTCATGATTACAGTTACAAAAATGCATACGTTTACATACAGCGCATGTTCAAAAGAAACTGCCAATTTCTTCCACGTAAGCTCAACATTATTATTTCTGCGTATGTAATTGTCACTCGCGTATTGCGTTAAGTATAAACTCATAACACAACCAATAACCTTCTCGTCGAGCACACTCGGGAAAGTATATTTTGTTCTTATTGTCGTAATTCAGATCACTGGATATATGGAAAAACTCTAGATAAGAATTACTGAATGTGTTTATAATTTTTTCCAACGATGAGTTTGTCTGATCTAGTACCTGGGGTAAATGCCGACGGAAGTGGCACTTTATTGTCGTACCAGAATCGATCGCCGTACCGCAGACGATAGAACTGTTCTCCAATGATGCAGGCAAATGTTGGTCCGACTCGTCCGTTGGCCACATGATTCTCCACGGTTCCACCAACAAAAAGATCGATATCTTCCACCGAACTACAATAAAAAACTTTGATGAATTTTCCGAATGCCGGAAATTTTACGAAATATGCGAATGCCGTAGAAATCTCCTGATAAAAATACAACTGGGTTAAAGCTGGCTACTTGTCCTGCTACAATACTTCCAAAACGAGTACACAACTGCAACACATACTGTATTTATAATCAAGGCACTATATTAACGGTAACAACAACAATGTAGTGAAGTGGATATTAAAGGTGCTGCAAATTATTACCAGTATATTCATTAATCCAAATTATGGAGAGCAGCGCATTAGTATCTCTTTTAGAAATATTCGTTTTTTCTAGAGATTAACCAACGAAAAACAGATCTCAACACTATCCAGACATCTGACAGATAGATTAGCGCAAACGTTAGCTCACACAGTCCGCCGACTCAGTCAACTCTTAAGAACCGTATTTTATTTCCTGTTCTCTATGATAAAGAATAAATACATTACAGTAGCCTGTCGCGATATTGGCGATGGCCACTTACTTATAAACTTTCGCCAGCCGATCCACCACCGGCTCCGGCATAATCCGCATCCGTTTCAGATCCAGGAAATTTTTCGGCACTCGCAGTTGGCACAACTCGCGATATTTAACGTACGGCTGCAGACCGTGATCCCGGCCCCGTTGAATATCGATAGCCGGCAGATCCAGTCCGAACTGGCTGGGGAACGTCTGGAAGAGGTGGTTCTGCGTCTCTGTAGTGAAGTGCTGATCCATTTTATCCCACACCCCGGAAGCCATACCGGCGGCGCACTGCGTCATATAGTAACCCTGGTATAAATCAAACGGACTGAACCACGCTTCGCGGAAGCGTTTGGAGCCGGCGCGCGTGAAGTCCGCGTTGCGCAGCGCAATAATCGGCGGGATGGTGGAGTGCAGGCGGAAGGCAGCCACCGCGAATTCTGAGGTGATGGAGGGGTTGATGGTGATGTCGTAGGGCGGATGGTTTTGCCCGTCGTCCAGAGAAATGTTGAAACTGTGCATCAGGGATGATCCCAGGATTAGTGGGAGGTACTCCTAAAAATGTAACGTAACTGTGGAAAACCACTAAAAAAATAAATTCATTTTAATTCTAATTGATATTTACTGTATAATGAGGCATAGAAGTATAGGTACTCATTTTTGTTTGCGCTCACACCTGGGCAAACATATATCACGCCACAGTTCTACAGTCTCACACACAACCGAATAATTACAGGTTCGTACGTTTGGTACAGAAGTAACAGAACAACATTCCGCCGTTACGTTACAAAATAATTATTCTTACGAGCAAATCTAAGAAAAATTTCACGGCGTGCTTCTTCAGATGTCGAAGGAAATTTCAAACACAACAACATTACACTGAGGAGCAGATGATACATAATCACAAATTTAATCCCTTAGTATATGCCAGTGTATAAAGTCGCGGATTGTGCATAACAAAAATCCAAACAAATTTTTGCATACTCCGTTTAAAGAGTTTCGTTATGCAATTTAATCACATGCCAACACTTGCCTGGAAAACAATATGCTGCAGCTGAGCGCCGACGATCCGTCTGGTCTCCTGGAATAGCCGCTCATCGTCCCAGTGCGGATTAATCGTCGACAGCAGCGAGGCCAGGTTGTTGTGATGGCGCATGAAGATCGTGTGCAGCATCGTCAATCCCGGCTACCGCAACACCATTATACGTACAGTATACGATAAAATCCTACCAAGGTAACGCATTAATTGCCACCTGCACGTTGACGCGCTTATCCCCGCCTTTAAAACACTGGAGCCCCGTGGGATGGGACGGGCACCCGCCCGCATCCGTCGGCAACAACGTGTACTGCGGCGACTGCCAGTAAGGTTGTGTGGTCTTCAGTTGACCTTTGACGAAGAGCCGCAGGTTAGCCGCTTCCTCGTTCGTGCTGCCGTACACTGGAAAACGCCGGTTAAGTTAGTTTAACATTTTTAATTCTACCACCATCCATGCAATTAATACCGGAACTTCCGTCAATAAAGTGGGTGACCTGGTTGATCTGTTCACGGGGTCCCAGCGTACACCCGGGACGAATTCCGGGCAGTGTACGAACGAACTCCATGCAGGTTCTGCCGTGTCTGTTCCAAGCAGAAGCATCGATATCATGCAGTTAGTACGAAAGAATGCGTTCAGTACACGTACCGCGCAGAAAAAGTGTCATCGTTCGGAATATTAATAGCTGCAAAATCATCACGTTATAATTCAAAAGGTCGAACGCTCAAACGGACGTATTACGTACGCCAGCAATCGGGATGGGTGGTTACTGGAGAATTGCAGCATTTGGGAGTTTGTTTATCAACAGTTTTCGATGATGGCGAATTCTAAACAACTTGAGCATCAGTTTCTTGATTCCGCAAAGATTACAGGAGTGAAGCTTACCACAATTTCATGTGCTAAGAACTGGCCAAAGTGCGCACTCTGCAACACATAAACCACCATACAGAAACATTATTCTGCGGAGCGCATAAGAAACACCAATCTAACTGACCATGGCGGAAATGTCGCCTTCCGGATTTTCCGCGTTATCGAACACTCGTATACTGATCGCGCGGGCACTGGGCAAGGAAGCGCCGACACTTGGCGTTCGCATCTCAGAAATTCCTACAATAATAAAGCACTGATAAAACATAGAAAATAATAATCTGACAAAGTATGCAGCAGAATAATTAATTCAGTGTAAACATGACAAAATTATGCACCCAGGATATTTGTATGGATCTACCGACTAATTTAACCCTGCCGTTTGTTGTGTCAATTTCAAAAACTCCCAACTCGCCGCCACTCTTACCATCTCCATAATTTGCCGCCAGTAACCTGCGATAAATCGTCGATTCCTTGCCCCGTGTCAGGAACGCAACGTTATTACAACTTCCATCCAAGCTTCGGAATTTGTTCCCCGCACACTGCGGCAGGTTGTGTTTATCGAATGGAGTGGTCAGCGATACAACAGCTTTCCTGTCAGAGTACACATAGTGGTTGTCGTAAGAAGGTTACTGACAATTCGAATTCACTGTATTTCCTTGATTTTTGTGTCGACAGTAAATTACAAGAAACACTACCTGCACGTCTATCAGCAGTTTAATTTCAATGCTTAGTTGCTTACTCTTTAGGAAATGGACAAAATGCGCGGAACTGTGGTAAGGTCAATCCGGTGATCTGTCGAATCGCTCGTACGTGTTCATCCCTGCAGAACACAAACGGGATATATGTAATTCTATGCCGCAAAACACCATTATAACATCCGTTTACTAGCAGAACAGTAATAATAAATATATAATATAACCATAATAAAAAGTACAGCGAATCTATCTATCCAATCTAATATTATTGATTTTAAGTTACATTGTAATAGTGAGCCGTTCGGTACATATTGGATCCCCTGGGAGACTGCCACTTCACTACACTGTGTCACATTTCAGGATAAACTGGTCTAACCAATCAACTGAATCAAGTGTCGACCAAAGACACTCTTTACAGTTAAAATGTTATATACACTATACACTTCGCCAGTAATGTTGCATTCTTTCAAAGTTTCGATACTTCAGATAGTAATAAAACTGCCTATTTAAGCCTTTTCAATACTGGACCAACTTTAATTACATCGCCTTCTGTTTCATCTTAGATAACGTTGAAAACAAAAAGCAATTTTCATTCCAGCGACAAAATGAATGCCACAGTTTTGAATGCCACAGTTTGTGGGACAAGAATTAATACCAAAAAAACAGCGATATTAAATAGCAACACGAGATATGAATATAACTGAGGAATGAAATGCCGGTCGATTGTTAACCAATTTTTCCACTCAAATCAAACCTCCGAGTGCTTTTATGCAGGTCGCCTTACTTCTTGTCCTTAACGCCGCGCGTCACATCCAGCAGCATATTCGCCCGCTGACTAATTGGGATAATCCGCGGATCCATCTCCCCAAAGCGTCCCAATCCCGCCGCCGAGCTGACATTGTCCACCGCCGGAAACTGATTGACGATCAACTGCTTGGCCGGCACTTTCCCCAGCGCCCGTTTGGAGAATCCCGGGTCGTTGTCATCCGTCAGCAGCACCCCGAACAGCCCCTCCGCCCGGTCCTTGCCTTTATTAATCAACTCTTCGATAAAAGTATCGCTGATTTCCGGGTAGCGAGCGCTTAGCGTCTCCTCATCCTGGAGGCCGACGTCGCCGGGGTCCGTGTCGTTCGTCAGAATGCGGATAATCTCGGGCGCCGCTGGCGATGAATTGCCAGATGAGGGAGTATCTTCCAGGGGATCATTCAGACTGTCAACGACCAAAAGTTCGGGTGCCTCTTTCGTGGAGGCCCGTGCCGTGGAAAGTACGAGGCAAATAATCCAACAAATCATTCTGAAAATGCAACACGCAAACGATTAGTCAGAACGATGAAAAACACTGCACGTTTCTCGCTTGAAAAATTTTCAGCATTTACCGGCAGCTTCCATGAAAATCCATAATGCCGATCAGGCTGCGGCAGCGCATAATCCCACTCAAATAATTTGTAGCCGATAATTAAAATAGTGCAGTGCCAGAATTTTTAGAAATAATTCTGATCTGAAACAAAGTGGTTTTTCATGTATACAGTATGCCTATAGATACAGATACGCACATTCAAATAGAACAAGTAATAACCCTTCTATGGCTAAATCCGGGTCAACTACTACAACTTCACTCTATCTCCCTTTGCATGCAGAACAAACTTTCTCGGATGTGTTTTCCCCTGATTCTTATAAACCGAATAGATTCTTTCATACATCCAGATTGAAATTACGACGAATAGGCGGTGCGCTTAAGACAATCGGTCAAATTTATACAACATCAGAACAACTTTTAACTGCCCTGTCTAGGTTGAATGTATTCCCGCTCTTTCTCCCGTCCTTCGAGCGAGAGTTCACTCAAGTTGCATAGTGCAATACATAATGTTTTAAAGTACTGTACAGTCTCTTAACTCAGAAATTTAACAACTGAGTAGCGCACTATTTTGTTGTCAGAAACGGTTACTTCGAAAATGAATACAACGATCATTCACAACCTTTTTCAAAACGCTTTATCGTAACTATTACGCATGTGTCCCGCATTTGCGTGATCTATATTATAAGCACAAGAAGCGCAAACATTCAACTTTAACAACACAAGTAAAAATTAAGAGGAAAAAATCGGAAAAAAAACAATAAACGATTATATCGCATGCATCTCTAGCGCTCACAGAAATCCAGCATGCGAAAATGTAAAACTGACCTAGACTGGCAGGTGAATCAATTCTCATCCATGTACAAACAAATGCAACAACGTACGCCGACGCAATAATACACTTTGAACCAACGCAGCAGCTATTTCCTTATCACACTCCGCTGGCCTTCCCCGTGGCCAGCTTCAACGCCGCTTCTAAGATCAACTTCAGCTGGGACGACTGAGATTCCTGTGCCTGGCGGGCCAGGGTCAACTGCATCTCGCGGTCCTTCTCCGCTTCTTCGCGCCGCATCTGCAGTTCGCGTTCCCGTGTCTCTTTATCGACGGTTATCTGGGTGCGCATCATCTCCATGTTGTCCTGCATGCATTTCACCAGGGCACCAATAGCGTGCCGCAGTTCCTGTTGGCAATTGCACTTGGCGCTACACTCTTCTTTCCCGCTCTGCGACACCCTGGGACGGGCTTCAGGGGCTGCAAAAACATCTCTTACAAGCTAAGCTCTTAAATATGCACCAAAAACAAAAAATTCTTTGCAAAGATTACTGAACTAACGAAAGGATTGAAGACGCCATCGCGTTAGCTTTCACTTCGTCGCGCTCCCTTTACCGAATCAGGTTTTTAGCCACAACACTACAATCGCGCTTCCATTAACCAGAACATTAGACAAATGCCGTGCTCACCTTCAGCTTTTACCGGAGAAAGGCCACTCAAACTACCCGCAACCACCTCATTTCCATCTAAAAATATTTAAACACACTGTTGCCAAAAACCAAACAAACTTCAAACACAAAAAAACCAACAATATTATAATCAACAAATCCATTAAAAGGCTAAAATATCACCAATACTGCGCGTCACTTACAGGTGAAGAGCGGCTCAAAATGCTCATCATTCTCCACATTGACCACCATCTGTGTGTCTTTGGCGGCCGGGTAGTGCAGATGCTCCACCCTGACCAGATTGCCCACCGCGCCCGCCCCAGTATTCAACTTCTGCCGCTTCTCCCCACTATGTCCGGCCACCACGACATGCATATTACTGGCCTTATCGAACCAGCGTTTGGGCCGTTTGCGCATCTGACTAACCAACAACCGCGCGTACTTCTCCCGCTCATTCAGCTTGGCTTCCTGCTCCACCGTCAACCGCGGTCCGGGATATTTCTGCCGGAATTCCGTGACGTAGCGGTTGACCAGTTGCTGCAGCATACTGCGAGGGGGTTTCTTGGAGTTCATGTTGACGTAAATGCCCTGCTCGACGCAGCGATCGATGGCTTTCTGCCAGAGTTCCTTGCTTTCGGGAGTCTTCTCCGGCGCCTGGTAGGGATTGACTTCGGCGACGATGGCCAGTTTGGAGAGGGTCTCCTGTTCGATGGTCTGCTTGGAGCCGCGCCGCGGATCATCGAAACCACCATCGTCCTCCTCCAATTCTTCGTCTTCTGCGGGATCGCCATAAGTTTCTACTTCTTCGTGTCCTTGACTGTCCGAATGCTCCGACGTCTCAGCTATAAACGAATATAAGGAATAATTATGATTTGTAGATCGATTTATAAGTACAGTAATTTAATTAAGTATGTATTACAATTATTATTATACATTGAAATAAACCTTATAACTTATTCGTTATTTCGTTTATAAATAATAACTATAAATTACATTATTACAGTAACTAATTACTTATAATTACTCAGGATTTTATTTCACTTATTTAAAAAATACCAGAATTTCAATTTCAAACTTTTTTACAGATTATACTGTACCAGAAATTTAGGAGCGGTTAGGCTAGCCCTAATATACGCACGATAACAACAAACTGTTAAAAGTCAGTCGATAAATATCCACGAAAACATTCGCAAAAGAAAACTTTTATAAGTCCAAACTAAAATACAGAAGTACGACTGTAAAACACATCTGATAACAGATTACTGAATCGAATATTAAAAATTAATAAACTTATAGACAAGTCCTTTTTCACTTCTCGTTAGCATCAAGTCTGACGACTGATATCGTGGTTATGGCTGCAGGAGGAACTACAGCGGAATCAGGCAGCAAGCAGGCAGCCTTTGATAACGCAACGGCGGAAACTGACTGCTGTGCACGTACGCCAACTTATTACAAATCGACGTAGAACTGCTATTTCAGTATTTCTTACCCATTTTCCTGAGCGACAGTCCTGTATGTCTTCCCACAAATAAACAGGAAGAATCAATTTCTGGGCGATACAATAATCAATTTTACGTCGCAATAACAGCAGAATCTTGTAAATCCACTCAGTTCCTGAGTCGCGTAAAAACAAAGCATCGAATAAAATGCTTCCAAACGCCGTCAATCTGTGGCGCATGGTGTTCGCTCCTCGACGGCGTGGCCTTTTGCACTCAGCACATGTGGCGTGACGAGCGGAATCTTGCTGCAAGGGCATGACTTTGACGGCAGGGGCTGTGGTGTGGACCGGAGGTGCTGGCCCTTTCGCTCGAGCTCGTTACACCACCGTAAGTTCGCAAGTCGCAACCATTTTATTTTTCGTTGGTGTCGAGATTTTTGAAAATTTGAATCGTGAAATCAATCGTTGCGAGTTGGTTCCTCATCCTACTGTGGAACTCTGCGTGGTCCATAGACTCTGGAATATGATTTAAGTTTTACCATACGATTCTTTTGAAAATCTCTTGAGTTTACATTCTTCCTGATAATTTTCGAGCTATTGTATACACTATACAGTATATCGCTCATTTTGAATCGTGTGGAATCGTGCAGGTACGTGTGGCGATCAGTCCTTTATAATCATCTGAACTTTCCAGTTGACTGTTGGAGCAAAATTTATAGATTAATCATTTTATAATTTTTATTCATTACTTTCGATTTACCGTCTTTACGATTTATGAGAAGAGAACCCTTGAAAGTCTCGTCCGTGAACAGTAAAAGATCAGTCTTTTAAAAGTTTTCAACCGGTTTTGGTCATATTCACAGTTCACTCATGAGGCTGGAAGTATAACTTTAAAACGCAAAAGTTTTGCTGCAAACAGCAAAACTCGGCAAAAGCTGAAAATATTTTATTTATCACTTTTATGTTGACAGTTGATAAACTATCCTTAAACAGTTACTGACAAAGTTATCAGCGACCCGCCACGAATGGTCCTGAATCCTGATTATAATTATTTTGATTGGAAATTTAAATAATATTGCCAGTTGAAAGTTTGTAAATTTGTTATTTGTAATACCTAGTATGTTCAGTTTCAGGCTTTTGGGTCCCATCATTATCGTAATTCATCATAAATTCATAATCGTCCAGTTTGATAGCCAATTTGTAGTGGTTTATGTCTGTGTGCTTTAGGTTATTGTTATTGTAGGAACCATAACAATCTCCGTGACAAGATGGACGTGGAAGCGCCGAAATCCGAATTTCCCGACTTCATCGAGCTGAAGGAGGAGCGGCGCTCATCGCCCGCGCCGACCCGTGAACGCAGTGGCTCCCCCGCCGGCGAGCGGCGACGTCGCGATCGCTCCCGCGACCGTGACCGCGGGAATCGCGACGGAGACCGTGGTGATCGCGACCGGGACAGGGATCGCGAGCGACGCCGTGATGACAAGCGCGAAGAGAAACGCGATCGTCGCAGCCGCTCACGCAGCAAAGACCGCCGCGACAAGGAAAAGGACCGGGATCGGCGTGATCGCGGTCGGGAACGGGAACGCGGCGGGGGTAATGAGCGAGCGGGAAACGAACGGGGCGGAAATGAGCGCAGCGAACGCCCACCGTACGTGTATTTGGATGGTTAATTTTTTTTTCAGTTGTACCTTGTACGCATGTCGTTTTAATAGGTCTCCGTATCGCAAGATGGACAAGAGCAAATACCAGTACTGGGATGTGGCGCCCATCGGTTTCGAGCACATCCCACCGGCGCAGTACAAACAGATGCAGCAAGCGGGTCAGATCCCCGCCATCCACTACCAGAATCCGCAGGCGGCGGTGCCGGTGCTGGGCAGCACCGTCACACGCCAGGCGCGTCGCCTGTACGTGGGTAACTATCCGTTCGGGGTGTCGGAAGAGCAGCTGGCCGATTTCTTCAACCAGCAGATGCATTTGAACGGTCTGGCGCAGGCCCCGGGCAATCCCGTGCTGTCCTGCCAGATCAACGTGGAGAAGAACTTTGCGTTTGTCGAGTTCCGATCCATTGATGAGACGACACAGGCCATGGCCTTTGATGGGATTAACTTCCAGGGACAAGCGTTGAAGGTTGGTGGGACAACACAGATGCTTCATTTTGTTTTGCATAGTTTGAACTTTGAAGCTGTTGCATTCTTACTCAGTTTCCAAAGCAGTACACATGGCTGCTACACTTACTTGTAGTTACCGAATTACTAACACCATTACATTACATAAATTACTTAAAATGAGATAAATAAAATTTAAAAGAGGATAATTTAAGTATCTGAAATAAAAATATTGTTGTGCGGAGTTGCATCACGTTTGCAGGTGATTCCGGCAATGATTAAAGGTGTATTCGGTTTGTTGCAGGCTGTGGTATTTTTGACCGTTCTTTTTAGGTCCGTCGTCCGCGTGATTATCAGGCTATGCCGGGCACAGCCGATTATCCAGCCCATAATCTGCTGGGTGTAGTGTCCAGTGTGGTGTCCGACTCCCCGCACAAGATCTTTATTGGTGGTCTGCCTAGCTATCTCAATGATTCGCAAGTGAAAGAGTTGCTGCAGGCTTTCGGGCCATTGCGCGCTTTCAACTTGGTGAAGGACTCCACTACCAGCGTGTCAAAGGGATTCGCGTTCTGCGAATACGCCGATACCAATATAACCGATACGGCTGTGGCTGGTCTGAACGGGATGCAGTTGGGAGATCGGACGCTGGTGGTGCAGCGTGCCAGTTTGGGAGCGAAACATTCCGCCGTCAATCCCGCCCAGCAGGTTAGTTTGCATTACACTCTTGAGTGCGAGCGCAGCGGACTATTTTCGGTTGCTGTAAGTTTCGTTCAGTGAAATCTACTTTTTTTAAAGTACAGAAGAATCACGAGATGAGTATTTGAAGTTTACCTCGAGGATTAAGTAGTGCTTTTGCTTCTTTTAACAACGTTCAAGTATATCAGGTTTACTCTTTCTATCGTATGTACTGGCGCTAAGTGGGCTCAGCAGCTAAGCCAGCTTGCATCGGATCCTTTTTCTTGGCAAAATTTGCTTGACTCTGTGGACGATGTTTTGACAAATGTAATGATGCCTGAAGTTTTTCTGATCTGCTTTTACCACGTTGAGTACCTGCGCTTTAATACTCGTGTCTCTGACGTTGTGTCGATTGTAATTGTATGATTGTAAATTTGTAATGGATATTAACAGCTCAAATCCATCGGCTGTTAAGTCAGAACTTTACTTGATTGTTTTGCTATGATGAAATGAAGCACGAGTGCAGCTCGGATGCTTATGCTACCATTTGATCGTTGCAGGTACAAGTGCAAGTTCCTGGTCTGGATCTTAGCCAGGGTGGTATCACGGCGACGGAAGTGCTGGTACTGATCAACATGATCACGCCGGAGGAGCTGATGGATGAGGAAGAGTACGAGAATATCCTGGAGGATGTGACGGAGGAATGCCGCAAATACGGCAACGTGGTCAGCGTGGAGATTCCGCGGCCCATCGAGGGCGTGGATGTGCCCGGTTGCGGCAAGGTCTTCGTGGAGTTCAAGTCGGTGTCGGACTGTATTAAAGCGCAGCAGAATCTGACGGGCCGCAAGTTCGCCAGCCGGGTGGTGGTCACCTCGTACTACGACCTGGACAAGTATCACCGTCGGGAATTTTGAGAAGCCTGTAATATTCTGGGTAAATTATTCAGTGTGTCGGCACTGTTTTGTTTTTATTTGTTATTGGATTTTGCAGCATAATATGTGTGGGGTACAGTAGTGCAGTTCGCGAGATAGATCACGTATAAGCATGGTCATAAATTATCCCCTTTCCTCAATTGTTGAATTACGCGCCTTCCTCTTTATGATTTTGCATGCATGAAATAGTGAATCAGCTTCCTTGTTTTACCGTACATCGTGTAACCATGCTTAAACCTCCTCTTATTATACTTCTATGTTTGTTACCAGAGAAATCTGGAATCATAACAAGCACCAACCCGCTTTCCGTGAAATTTGAATCCTTAAAATGTACTCGTAATCGTAGATCAATCATAATTATCATAGATGCATTAGCGAAGAAATCTTATTAAGCATGCTTATTTTTTCATGCATAACTTCCGTAATGAGGTAAATTTGTTGTTGAGATGCTGATGCCTGGAATAGAATTACAGCACTGTAACCGGCTTTGCGTGCATGAAATGATTATGGCGACGTGGAAACGGGATAAACATCCGGAAAGGAGGAGTGGGAGCTGAGTATTTCTAATCCTTCGATCGCGAATCGGGATCAGGTTGTCAGTGTACATGTAAATCAGGATATAATCACAAAAACAAGGCTATACGAAAGAATTCCAGTTTACAAGATGGTTCACAATTCCGTAGTTTCCCCCGTAAATGCCTGGTTTCGTAATTGATCAGGTAAATCGCTATATTCAGAAGTAAAATACATATAGTATATGACTGCATTGGATGATATGACTGCATTGGAGTTTAAGCACTGTTGTTACGTAAATCATAAACGAACAATTTTTGTTGCAATCTACATTTTATAACTGAATGGATTTGAAACGATACGGTTACGCAAACGTTAAATCATCGCAGATGCGTTAAATACAACATTTGTTGTTTACAGTTAGTCAGTTACGTATTAACGAGTAAATTGTACTGTATTAAATTTGAACACGGTAGTTTATCTTTGTGAAATGTGAGTGATGCTCAGTCGAGTGTCGACATTATACTTTACAACTTGTTAATTACAAATAAAATCCTTTTCCAAGTTAATTGTAAGCTTAAGTTTTGACTTCTTTCTCATGTGTACAATAATGTACATATGCTAATTATTTTGTGATGGATGTATATAGATATGGAACTCATTAATTAATTTTTTACAGCGTTGAATGTCAGCAGTTGAGTATTTGTGGCCAGGCGTTAGCCTACGGCTACGTTGGCCATGTCCCCTGTAGGCTACTCTGGTGTGAACGCACGGTACCGGCCACCTCTCTGTTGCGCTACAAATATTACGCAGCACTCGCACGTATATTTTTACGATTTTACTGTGAGTTCAAGGTCGGCAGACGAAAGCAAAGCACAGAGCATTTGTCAATGACACACCAAAAAATTCCAACGTGTCGAAAGAGAAAATACTACAGAAAACCTAGGCACGGCTACCGTTTAAAAAATGAGTACAGATTGTACAAGGATGCTACAATTCGACGACGGGCGATGAAGGACGCACTGCGACAGCGTCAGCTACACGGAAACGGAAGTGGAACAGACAACAAAGACGACGCATGACATGTACAGCAAAGTGGCGAATATGAGAAATGAACGAGGAATGCACAAACTGATGTCATTCGACCTTAGCCCACGCCAAAAAACAACGGAAAAACAAAAGGCTACGCAAGGAGATGTCAGGATAATATTGTCCGCATTTTCGTACGATTTCCTGTCAGTGGATGTCGCGTCCTGCTCTTTCTAGAATCCGTGAACCTTCAGCTGGCTGGGCTTGGCGATGGCGTTGGTCGTCAGGAATTCACAGATATTGTTCCGCTGGTCTCCCTGGAACTGGATCACTTCCCCGTATTCGGGATGATCAACCACGGTCCCATTGCAGGCGAAAGTTTTCTTACCTATACAAACAACAAATAAAATAAAAACCCCAAAAACGTCTAAAATATAGATTTTTCAATTTTACCAACGAATACAAAAATTTAAATTATTATTAAACAAACTACAGACTACAAACTACTGTTAGAAACAGCAGAGGATTTTCTATTCCACAAGAATTTACAGGTAGCGCAAACCACATAGTTCAGACTGCACTGTAAAGGTTAAGGAGCCATCGACAACGCTTCATTTTAATGGCAGATGCCAGCAGTGTTACTTACAGGCGCGGACAATCTTCTTCTTGTCGTATTCAGGAGAAATACCCTGAACAGTCGTAAGGGTCTTGCGGCCGTTACGCTGTTGAATACGAATGTGGATTAAGCCTTCGGCTCCGCGTTCATCTCCTGTCACGGCATCTGCGAATGGATCAAACGGCGCACTAATATTAGCGTCAATTTGGGACATCGGATTTGTCGGGAATTGAGCCTTGACAATGACTAAAACGGTAGCTAGACAAAGAAATACAACAATCAAGGTTATTTTATCGTTGGGGATATCGCTAAGAAACACGCGGGAGTCACCTTTTTGTGGGGGTAAAAAAAGATGTATCGCGAGAACTCGAGTAGATCCGATTCAACTGCAGCAACTCGGGAAAGCAAGCAAGCTGAAAAATGAGGGTGCGCTGGCTGATGCTTTTTATAGCCACATGCCAATGAACGTCGCCTGCGCGTAGTGCACTAGCCTCGTTACATCACGACTCGTGCTACGCCTCACTCTCTCTCTCTGACACTTCCTCATGGCAGACTCGTAGCTGACTCGAGGCTCGATTCGGGACTACAGCGACATCGACGCGGCTTTTAAAACTCGTTTCTCTCTCCGGCAGTCACTGCCGTTTCTCTCTGTCCGTTCTGACGCGAAACGGCCAGTCCACGGTAAAATCTCGTTATTTTTATTTTTTACTAATTTGATTTCCAGTTTATTTCGTGTAAGAAGCTTAGAAGATGCAAAAATCAATTACAGTAGTTTTGTTTTAAACAAAATTATAAATCTTGACATAATTGTGCCTGAGGTGGGGAAATAATGAAATTATGAATACTCGTACTGGGCGCAGGTACATATGAGTATCAGGTTATGTTTCCTTTGCCGCTATTCTGATGAAAAAATTTCTTTGTTCTATGAATTCTTCTCAGACTTGTGAGTCATATTTTGAACAATAGTCGAAATTATTCATTAATCATGATTCATAACTGGGCGATAAGCCGATAAAGCACAGGCCGGGACGCTTATCAGCCTTGAGCAGAGGTTAGCAACGTGAGCTGACCGTGAGACGGTCGACTCTCGCCTCATGATAAAGATACCGTTTGGATCTGACGTCATCGCCGGAAGCATTTGCTTGAAGATTTTATTTTCTGAAATATTTCCAAAGACTTTTTTATAATTAATTTTAAAATTTCTGTCTGTAGAACTCCGACTCTTCCTTTTCATCGCACATCGATACTCCATTGTGATATCTTGTTGTGGTTATTTGTGTCTTCACCATCCTGAGATTCTGTGCGGAGTCTGTCCTCTGGATTTGGTGCAAAGGGAGAGTCAGACCTCGGTAGGTGGAATACATATGTTGGCAACTTGGCACTCTACTGAGGCACTTGACTACTTGAGTTGAGTGTATTTTTTTTTTACTTTTCCTCTTTTTTGGCTGTTTATCCGATTTACCTTTTGTGATTGTATCTTCTAGTCTTTCAGTAAGGTTATTTGATCTGTAGTGACGTGTTTATTGTGTGGTTTATTTGGTTACTTATTCTGTGGTTTTTCAGTTGTGGTGCTTATCGGAATTATCGGATCCCTTCCAGTGTATAAATCTGACATTCCGCCATGTCTTCATACAAGTACGACGACAATGCTGAGCTGGGACATGGATTTGGTGAATTCCAGTTCTCCGAGAAGACAATCCGTTTGGGTAAGGATGAATATTGATTCGGGCAGTCTGGCTGATCTATGCGTTCTTGTCGTCGTTTGACAATCTGTTTAGTACGGTACTGTGAGGTTGCAGAATCGTTTCGCTTCACTATCTTATCGCTGATTAGTTTCTAAAAGTATTGTGCTGTATTCTCTGATCAACGCGGGGTACTGTACTCGAAAATGGCTTTAGTATCAGCATCAGACCAACCAAAACGTGTACAGTATCTATAGCAGCGTCGCAGCTGGTGTGGAAGCTGTGAAAATGTTGTCAGGATTATTGCCGCCATTTTGCAACGATAATTATATGGCGGTTTATTGCAGGCTTCATTCGGAAGGTGTACGCCATTCTGTCGATTCAGCTGCTAATCAGCGTGGGTTTCATCGCGCTGTTCTGCTACCAGTAAGCGGAAACTGGAATGTCAAACCATTCATCTCCAATATTTATCCATCTGTGTGTATTCCGTAGAAAAGATGTCGCGGAGTTTTCCAGAGCCAATCCGGGAATGATGATCGGGACGATGTGTGTATTTTACCTCTTTTAAACACATTTTGCTTTGTTTTTTACCGTATGTGACTTTTTACCGTGGTGGTTTTTTACCACCACGGTAGTGGTGGTGATATACGTAGTATTATGAAATTGGTTTATTTTAGTTGGATAAATTAATTTACTGATAATGAAGCTTCGATCTTTAATACGTCGTTATATGAAAGATCCTATTAATTTACACTTCCATGTTTGAATAGGGTGGTGACGTTCGTCGCCGTAATCGTGCTGGCCTGCTGCGAGGGCGTACGACGTCGAGCGCCGTGGAATTTCGTCATTCTGGCGGTTTTTGTAAGTTGCGCATCCGCGTATGCTGATCACAAGTTCGCCACAATGACCACACTTTTCACAATTCATATTCCACTGTAGACGCTGTGTGAGTCATGGATGCTGGGCAGTATTGCCAGGTATGAAGAAAGACCAGAAACGATGTTGAACTTGCCACCCTTGATTTGAACAAGGTTATTGTTGTCTGCTGTGTAGTTTCTACACCGCCAATGAAGTACTGCTGGCCGTGGGCATTGTGGCCGCCATCACGCTGGCCCTGACACTCTTCGCCATGCAGACCAAGTACGACTTCACCACCATGGGCGGTATGCTGCTGGTCATGCTGGTGGTGTTTGTGCTCTTCGGGATCATTGCGGGGATTGCCGGTGCACGCGGCAACAATGTCCTCAACATCGTCTACGCCTCACTGGGCGCCCTTCTTTTTGGCTTCGTAAGTCGTGGTTTTTTATCACACTGGTACCAGTAAGTGATTACAGACTTCTTTAATAATTAGGCAGTGCATAACCGCATATACCTTGCGCTGCTGTAAAATAGGGACACGCGACAACTCTGACACAGGCTAATGTGAATCACGAGTACATTAGGTATTCTGTGTATGTTATTATTTCGTAATTTGTAACAGATGTACTGTACACATGAAACCAGTGATAGACTTTAAGCCACTTTCTTGCGGTAAATAAAAGGATGGCTGATGTTCCTTTATTTTGTGCTTTTAATAATTGTTACAATCGCTTTAAAGAGCTCTATTACTGACTCCGTGCGTATTTTTAGTACCTGGTATTCGACACCCAGCTGATGTTAGGAGGCAAGCACAAGTATTCCATTTCTCCGGAGGAGTACATCTTTGCTGCACTGAATCTTTACTTGGACAGTAAGTTTTTTACTTTTAAGTGCAACGATATCAATCCTTACCTGGCTCCCCCACATTAGTTTTTAACCTTGTTTTCTTATTCATTGTGTAATGTTAGCCTTCGTAGAAGTAACATTTGCGTATCGTTTTCGAGAGTAAAAATGCTGCATGCTGTCGCGATTTGTACATTTGATATGTGTGTCTGGTTTTGCTATTCCCTTTTGCTTTTCATCATAAGAAAATTTATCTTGAACATCTGTTGTCTTTCCTGTTGTACCATATTCACCGGGTTATTTCTGCTTTCCACTTTCCAGTCATCAACATGTTCATCTACATTCTGTCCATCATCGGCAGTGCAAATCGCAGTTGAAAAACTGCTCACTTCCGCGTCGGCTGAATGAGGAATCTGTTCGCTACGGACGGGAATATATTTTGGTATTTTGTGCGACTGTTCATTCGCTTTTATTTCCTAGTCGGTGAGAATTGCTTCAAAACACTTTGCTATCGAAACCCTGGATATTGTGTTATTTTTATCGGTCTCTGGTTATAAGGTTATCCTGTACTAATTATTTTGTGTTCCGTCAGGCAGTCGCACTGGTTTTTAATTACTTCTTGTATCGATACAATTCCGAATCCGTTGCCCTGTATGGAATTAAGTCAATTAACCCTTTCATGTTCGATTTCTGTCGCTGTTCGTGTAGCCCGATGACATATGGTGTTATTGTTGTACTGTTTTTTTTCGATTGATTTTATGGATTGTTTAATAAACAGTGTCCTTGAATCATGAACTATGAAGCTCAGAAGATATAAGTTATGTTAATGTAGTGTCTTCTTGGCAAAGATGATTTTCATTCTGATATTTGCTTGTGTATCATGAGATGTTAAGGGAGCACATTAGTGTCCACCATGTGTTAGTTAGTTCTGACTTGATACACCAAATTATAAACATACGAGATCATTGCACACAGTTTTAGACATACAAGATCATTGCAGTGATTGCACGAAATCATTGCCATTTTTGCTCGCTGTACGTTTAACTGGTAAGTATTGTAAAGTCTGCACTCACCCGTGCTCGACTTCGTATAACTTTTTACTTTGCTATTGCAGATTTAATGTGCAGTACAACCTGCAGTGATTTTTTAATAATTTAATGTTTTGCAATATTAAATACGCAAGTACGTAATTACCAAAAACACAACAGTGCTTTGATCCGAAATTCCGAATTACTGTAAAAGTATTCACAGACAATCAAGTTTGTTGTATACGATGTTGTCACCAGGTTACAGACTACTGGATTGTAGACCCGTAAACAATAAAACCGCTCTTATGCAAAATGCAGTAGTATTACTGTGAATACCGGCAGCAACTCCCGGGTGCACTGCATCTTCCGGTTTCGCATTTGGTGATTATATGAAGACAAATCTGGAGATCCGAATGCCGATGTATGGATTGTAAAAATATCTATATAATATGATATAAAAGGCAAGGTTAATTTATGCCCGATTACGACAATGTCAGGCATGCATTGCCGTTAACCGGTACTGTTTGCAAAATGCGTGACCTTAAGTGATATTCTGCTATTCGGAACACCAACCATGAAATTCGGGCGGAAAAAATCTTCCAAGATGCAGCCGCATGCCGGTAATGGAGCAATCCCGTCGAAAATGCCGTCATCTTGTCCAAATGACGCGGAAAGTACAGCGTCGACATCCGTGTCCGATTTGGTCACTGTACAAAGTTATCCCGGTATTTAATTACATATTCCAAGTAATTGTTGGTAATTTGATCCAAAAATGGCCATGTGTTAGCGCTGTAGAATCATCGCGCTTTGACCACTTTGTATCGACCATTGGCAAAGTGATGCGCCCGCCAGCTACTTGCGTCGATTCCGGCAGCGTCCAATCAGTACAATCACGACCGGAAGAAGGTGAGCCGACTGGGGGCGCCGCTGGAAGCAAAGGTCACAGCGTGGGCGTCACCCAGCCTTGCCTAAACGATTCGGATGGCGATGGCGAGCCAGTGAAAAGTGGTCTAATATGCTCTTTTAGAAGCAAAGGTAAATTGAGTGTAAGCAGATTAATTGACATGTCTATCGTATCTTAAACGTCCGCCGGCTTACTCTGCAGTACTAAGTACGATCTACCTGTGTACAAACGGCTTGCCGACCGGTTGTTTCTTTATTATTTTGTAAATATTCTTAAATATTAACGCGAACATATTATGACATAACTGATTTGCATTGTGATTACTGTTAGGGCTTTATGTACTTACTATTGCACTGACTTGTGAGCTCGAGTGTTATGATAATGCCATCGTAGGTAAACGGTTGTCCAAAGACCAACTGGAGCGTTTAATTGAGCGGCTAACCGTAGTGGAAAATGAAAAGAACGGGAGAAATCACAGAATAATCTTGCCGAATTTACGATATTCTGCCTATCTTGCGCGCAAGCAGCATCAGCTGCGTGTCTTTTATCACTCGTAAATTATATAATATTGTGAATTCCACATTGTAATTCTCCACAGCAGGCATTCGGTATAATAAAATTCTCGGGGCCAATTTAATTTGTAATACATATACCATTTACCAACGCAGATCGTAAAACATTCCTCAAGCTCGTGATTACTGTCGTTCCCGATTCATTCATTATATAGTCAGAATAGATGCCCTAAATTAAAATAATTTATTTAAAACATAATTTACTGATATCCTGTGGGCAACAGTACAGCTAGACTGTCCTATCCAAAAATGTGCTGGTGACCGACTACGAGTACTTATCTGTTTTAAAAATATGAATAGGCGAAATAATTTTCACTGGTCGGTGAGTCCTTAATTATAGCGTATGTTATCCTTATGGTTAAGACTATATATTGTATATGTAACTCCAAAACAGCGCATACTACCGGTAAATACACAAGCGGGTGATGGACATGTAATACAAAGTTGCCTGTGTCAGCAATGACTTGATTTATCGTAATTAAGGTTTGGTTGCATTTTACTGCAAGACCATTATTTTCTTTAAATCGTTATAAAATAAGTTTCATATGCTCAACACATTCGCACAAATGATGATTAATATTCCACGGAATACCACTACTTGTATAGTACATTTTAACAATTCGGAACTTTTATTCGATATAAGCGGTATTTGACTCTCCGAATATATTGTGATACCTCTCCGAATATGTTTAATCCTCGCGATCGGGCGTTCTGCCCGTTTGCCGCGTACATATACTGAGTTCGCAGTCCCTCGCGTGAAGTATACGTACGCACGAGGCCACGCACCTATGTATTGTTTTCGTCCACGAAAGTCATGCACGAATACATTCTTCGTATGCCGTGCACTTGTTATGAGCCGGTAAATTCAATAACTATCACATGCCTGCTCATTATCGTTAGTTAACATAATTATAATCGGAGCGGGGGTCAGGGTCACGCTCGGGAATGGTCATTGGGGGATGTCTGTGTTCCCAACCGGATGATCATGATATTCTACACAATATGTACATGCAGCTCAATCCCTTCCACAGTTCCATAAGGAAATTTACCTTTGCTAGGCGCTATATCTAATAAACGACACGACTTTTCACGCACGAAGTGTAACAGATGTGCCATTTCATACCTACCGGACGTTATGCCACGTATAATGATAGCAAAATCCAATTAGCCGGTTAAAGTCGCGCGTACCTTTTGCACACGCAGGATCCATCAAGTGTTTGTTGCTTTGCGCGCGATACGGCGGCATCGTTAAATATGTTTCTTTGCTCCGAATAAGGTTATTTTCTGCGTTGATTAAAAGATTGTAATGCGTTTAATCTTACTTGCGTATACGTGAACGACAGAACGGTGAGAGTATAATACTTGAATTCCTGATCGCTGGTCTCCAGTTATACATAACCGGTATAAGTATATATATAACCGGTCCAGATCGCCATCGTGAATATTTGTAGCCGGTAAGTAATTAATTATATAATGGATTCGCAATCGATGCATGCAGGATATCGTCACTCTTTTATTACGTTAAAGATTGCAAGTATTTAGGAATCTGACGCATGGGACACTGTTTGCGCTCTTTAAAGTTTTTTACGTGCATCTATTCGGAATTCCTTTTTGCTATCATGATTTCTTTCTCAAAATTTCATACCAATAAATTAGGAATAATTTTAAAAAGCAAACAACTGTCGTGCATTACTCCTCCGTTAGCTATTCAATTGCTGACACATCGCGATTTACTACAGTCTATTCAGGGTACTGGTTTCGATCACGTGGCACAAATCCGCGTATATAACGTAATTTTAAACATGGTCATTATACTGCATGGAAGCCGATGTATCCCAGAGGTTGTCCATTTCCTATTTTTGCATAAATCCATCCATACTACCGTTTTATATTTTTTCCCAGCCCGTTTCAGTGACTTAATACACCATAAGAGTCAATGCCGTATTATATTGTATTAAATCACTCTATAGGATAATGAATCATATACGTAAACTATCGATCGACGTCCGACGTGGAAGTTCGGAAATGTCATTTATATCTCTATCCGTTACATTTTACGATTAGTTCCTGTTTTTTTTTTCAGTGCATGCACGTACATATATATAGTTTTAAGCATGCATAGGTGTATTTTACCTAGCCGTTCAAATATGCATTTACCATGGTTAGTGTAGTTATTTTAAAATAATAACACAAGTCGTACCTGTACGTGAAATATTGTACGTCTATTAAAGTTCCTGCATCGCAGTACGTTTGTAATTTGCACTAGTCGATCCCTTCTTAAAGGGACCTCTATAGTATTTAATACTTGTGCATTTAGGAATGTAGATTACGTTATATAAAAATATATACCCTGGATTCCTTTGATTACATATTAATATTATACGAAATCATAATAATATCAAGCAAACGCTCCATCAGCTTTGTATATGCAAAATGCTTGAATATCACGCTGGATTGCTGGAGAAGTCTGCTACGAAATACGAGTGTATAGCGCTCCGGTATAAAAAAACTTGAACCAGCCGGATGCGGTATATAGGAGTATTTCTAATGGCATCCCGTCCAAGAAACTTACGATTAATTATTGTACTCGTGATTTCCCACACGTGCGGGGAATTCATATGATATGTATACGGGTATTTATACATCTGTTATAGGTGTACACACGTATACCGGCATTACCGCCATAACGTTCCACGGGGACCGGCACGCCGTGTCCATTACCGCCATAACGTTCCACGGGGACCGGCACGCCGTGTCTCTTATACCAATGGACAGTAGTTCGCACAATGTCAATGTGACCCTGTTTGCCGGCAACGGCGAAATCCCCATTGAGGATGACCTACACTTTCCCCTGGCGTACCGGGTGATCGCCACCATCATCCACTCTGTCATATTAATCACGGGAATTCTCGGCTGTCTGGCCATTATCTTTGTGGCACACAAGGAGCGCACACTGCACACTCCGACCTATTCATACCTGGTAAGTAAATTATCTCATTATCCCTAATGTGCCGGGGCAAAAATTTCTTTATCTGTTTTCCGGTCGGTTACGTGCAAGGCAGTTCCCCATGGAAATATCAACGTACACATATCATTATTACCTTTAATTATGCATTTAATTTCCCTACTGCAGTTTTTATTATAAACAGATTTATTTACGTTTTAATAAACCAGATTAGTGACGCAAGGAAGTGGGATATAATTACAGAAAGCAATCAGTATTTTGTTACATTTTTGCAAAGTACCGGAGGATTCGATTATCTTACCTTAAATTAATTACTGATTTAGCTAGCCCTAGCTTTAGATGTTTTGGCGGGACACAATAAATTAAAACTAACTGCATGTAGCATTGTTAGTACGTGCATATACATAATAACAATATCATAGTCTATGCCTCACGCGTATATAAACATGCATATTCAATGGAAGGCTCGAATTGTATTAACAATAAAACGTTTATTTCCTCAAGGTATCCCTTGCGTTTGCCGACTTGGTGGTAATAAGCACAGCGGTACCGGAAGCAATTGTGTGCCATCACGTTGGGGCACGCTGGATTTTTGGACAAGTCGGATGTGCACTATTTGTCTTTCTTAACTTCCTTGGGATAAATGCCGGCAGCATGAGGTAGGTAATTATGTATTATTCTCTGTTTTTACGCACGATATAAAAATGACAATAAGGCGACGTCAATCGGTTCACTAAGATAGCTCGTGTACAATTCCGCTTTCCGCACTGTTTCTTTAATTTAGTTTGATTTTTGACCTACGTATATGACTTATGCACAAATGTACATTACAAAGCTAATATATTTGTGACGACATGTCACTCATTGTACAATATAATATAGGAAATGTTATAACAACTATTTTTACACGCAGCATATTCGCATTCACAATTGAACGGTATATCGCTGTATGCCATCCCTTTCTCGCGCATCGATTATGCACACTGGAACGCACCAAAAAGATCATCTTAGCCGGCTGGATTGCCGTTGTCGCGTACTGCATGCCGTGGCTCTTTCTCACCGAACTCAAACCAGACCCTATTTTCCCTGATCAGTCGCACTGCGACTTCCGTGTCAGCAAGGAAGTATACGCGGCTCTCTTCGTTTCGGACATTGTGGTTTTCTACGTGTTACCGCTACTGATGGCCGTTGGCGGGTATGCCAAGATCGCTTGGGTCATCAAGCAAAGGTCACGCTGCCAACAGGAACTGGATCAACCGCTGCAGCCACAACACCTCCAGCCGACCGGATCCATCAAGATTATTAAAAATGCATCGAAAGCCAGTTTTTACCGGCAATCCGACAGCGCTAAAAGTTCGGTTAGTGCATGCAGTAAATATTTATAATTTATCAGTAATATCTATCAGTGGGCTCAGAGTAGGTGATTGTAATATAAGCAGAATTTAGAAAGCTAATATGTTGGTTTATGATGCAGTTTTTTATACATATAGTACCATTTTCTGTAAACCAGTTCCTCGAAATCGACAAACTGAAAAGTATGCTGTACAAGTACACCTTAATTTCTTTTATTGAACTCTTTTCGGTTCATATTGCTCTGAGCATTTCACATTTTTCAGGATCCCGTTATACAGCTTAATTCGTAACCATCTAGTTGCATCGGTAAAAATATTTTAATTCCGATAATGTAGGTGTTCTAGTATTAGTGCACGGCATGGTCACTTCCCAGATTTATCGGAAGTAATTAATCTGTTTATCACGAAATGATACGTAAGCTGAGAATGGAAGAAAATTCTCGATTCCTTTTCGACTGACGTTGAGTGGAAAATTTCACCCATCCTGAACAATAGCTGGCGTTGGATGGCGCGGAATGCGTGTAGGATTTCCGTTTGTTCTAGACAATCACGGCTGCTTGCCCATTCCCGGTATAAGCGCTTTCAGAAGATGGGGATTGGATGCCGGGAATAGTCGCAGCCGTATAGCATAAAAGCACAAAGATGTGTGCCTTGTGTTGAGTGCGTGATCAACAACCGGGCCACCTTCCATTCAAACATCGGCCTTTTTGTTGATGACATTTGAAAGGTCATCGTGTTGAGCGTTAACTATTGTTTGCGGCGCTTTATTTTGCTGGGTTCGTTTGGATAAGCCGCCCACGTAAATGCGAGAGGGATGATACTCGTAAACACGACTGTTTGTGCCGGTTGTTCAATCTGAGAACAGCTTGGCCAGACATGCGTTAAGGCTTTATTGGCTTCGTTATATAAAAATATATTTGCTGAGAGTGATACTCGTAAATCCGGGACAAACTTTGGGTTAGCCGCAGCCTGATTGTGGCAATCATGGTTCATTGCTACCGCAAAGCCTGCATTCGGCATTTCCGTTTACATAAATTTGTAAAAAAAAAATAAAATAAATTTGTAGGAGTGCGTTACCACAATATAAAAATAGGCATTAGTTAGCACAGTTTTACTGCTATAAATTAATGGGAACCAAACCACAGAGTCACAGAAAACGCTACAGAATTTTCCTTGTAGTAATAGAGTAGATACTGAGATTAGTGAAAGCACTCGCTAGGAGTTACTAGTATCTGTAGTTCGGAAAATGGTGATATGTACAAAAAAATCTCTGCAAATTAGTTCCATTTATATGTAAATACCTGTACTCAATATGCTTATCGCTTAAAACTTATCCAGTTTCATTTGTCCAAAAAAATAAGGTTCGTGATTAAACGCAGTCTTAATTTCTCAATAATTAGTAGGTAAAAAAGTAAGTACTCTTACTGTAATAACTTGGCTGAATTTTGCAGACGATGCGAATGCTGATTGTGATTGTGAGTTTATTTGCCGTTTCCTGGCTGCCATTTCGCGGCCTGCTAATATACAACTCGTTGGCGGATGAACCCTGGCTGGATATTTGGTATCTGCTCTTCGCCAAGACGCTCATATACATGAACTGCGCCATGAATCCCTTCCTCTACAACGCCATCAATCCGCGTTTCCGGTTGGCCATGCGGCATGCCTTCTGCCACACGCGCAACTCCCAATCATGTACGAGTATGTCACTGCAGAATCATAATAATTTGCACTGCGTAGAAACTGGATCAGCAGTGTTAGACTACCACCGGTTGTGTAAAAGCTTTTACGAGTATAACAGTAGCTTTTACTTTTAAGAGTATGCATTTTGATTACGCACCGTATGTATGTATTTATCAATATTAATATGGATAATCGATACAATAAATATCCTGCAAGTTTTATCATTATGTACGATTATATTTGGAAAGGCATTTGAATAATAATACGAAAGTTGTTCGTTTAACGTTTAACTTTGTCTGTAAGCGCGCCGTATGTACCGATATGTTGGTACAATTAATCAGCACATTAATTGTACCAACATATCGGTACATACGGCGCTATTTACAAGCTTGTATTGGCTTGTATTGATATTCAGAAAGACTATGTATGGTCGACTCAGCAGGTCCAGAGTGGAAATTATCGTTTTTGCAATTTCATGTGTGAGTTTTTTTAATTATTTCAGCGACATTGAGCACGGCTGATCGGTCCCCCACAACGGAGTATTTTGGTCGTAAGGGATCATCCCCAACATGTCATTTTGTAATACCACAATGATCGGCAAGTGTGGTCACACACTACCCGACACTGCAACAAGGTACTTCTACTGTAAACTTATTATACAAATAGTACATATTGATAATGCCGTACAAAGAATTTTGCCTGCAGTAACGTTCGGTATATCTATATCCGTCACTATACTATCGTTTGTGCAACACTTACTACAAGTACTATCGTAGAGAGGATGCTGATCTCTACAAATATTGCTAATAAATTGTAGAAACATAGTAACAATTACTGTTCGTGTAGCAGATTTATTGCTACACGTACTCGTTGATAATAAATTCTTATAACTTTTTCTGACATATGCATTTTGATTACTCACTGCCACATCCCTTATATAAACCTTTATATTTTAGGAGCGGTTTCCGTGCCCCAGCTGGCTGATACTGAACTGCAAGTTGGTGTGCGACTGCAGAGTACAAACCAATAAAGCTAGTGTTCAACGATTAACTGGGAGGAGAATATAGCTGTTCCTGTTCGGGATTAACCGCGCGGGAGGAGAAGCAGATTCCTGTTCAGATATATCGCGGAGTATTATATATATATGTAGTATTACACCATTTTGTGAGACATAGCTGAACCTACAGCCTGCTACTTTTTATAACGATGATGATTTTAATCGATACACGTATAAAAATATACTTGTAACTTTTTTATGCATGCAGACGTCGAACGCACACCTTTGTATGTAATTAAGTTTGAATGCCCTCATGAGCGACCGTTTTCTTCCTGTACGAGTACAAGTTTCAGACACTGCAGTAATTGTTTCACTAACTTGTAAGGAGCGAATCACGCATAATCAAGTCAAAATAAAATCAGCATTGCCCGCATAAGCATGGGACCACTTCCTTGTACAAATTATACAAATACAATTTACTACGAGCGGCAAGATTTCTCACCATCATCTGTACAAATTTATTATCGTATAAGAACTTACTGTATTCTGTGTATTACGTGCAATTGCAAAAAGGCGAATGGCAGCCTTATATCTATATGTACGATAATTTCTGTTACATAAAATGAAAAAAACATCAGAATTTTATGTCGCAGGCACTTAACATCAAACCAGTCACCAGTGTGCAAATCAATACGTACGAGTAGGGTAGGTGTTATTACTATTTATAGAAGCAAGGTGCTAGAAGTGTATTGCAGAATGTATAAACCGAGTATAATGCGCAAACAGCGAATAACTCTGCAGTTTCCGAACTCCTCTACAATAAAGTACGTAAATTAAAGGGAGATTCAAAAAATTCCGTTCAGCTTGTCTGGTGGTTCGAAATTTTGCAATTTTATTTTGATACAATGAAATAACGAAGTGGTTACAATTGTACTTATGCTTATCGTTAGTACCTTAGTACTTATGCTTATTAGTAACTTATGATTAGCACAGCGGATCAGCATCGAAATCCAACGAGGCATTGCGGCATCTATCTTGGGAACGGCACCAAGAGGCGCAAATTTAGATCAATATATATATATATTTTATGTTCTTTGTGATTAGACCGCATGGGTCAGTTGATGCTGAGTAATAAGTGATATTTTCTTAAGGTTTTTCAGTATATGATGTTTGGACATCTAAATAAAGTGTATTACTTACACTTATTTTCTGAGGTTTATTTATGTAATTATCGATGTTTTAGATACTGCTTGATAAGTGCTGGTGTCATGAACTTACCATTAGTACAGTAAGTACTGTAACAAAAAGTTTTAGTTACGGTACTTACTGTACTTACTACTGTTTTAGTCTAAAACTGAAATTTTGCACGTAAACCATCAAGCTCTTGTCATAGAAGTAGTTGTCAAACCGCCGCATCCGCCAACCGCCAATCTGCAACAGGTGTGGGCGGAGTCGCGAGTCTCAAGCTCTGAAACTCACAAACACTCCTGGTTCTCGTCTCCTGATAAGTAAAGTAAGTAACAAGTTGCAAGTATCTTATCATAAAGTTATCTCAGCTATTTATACTGTAAACTTCTAAAATTATGTTGAATGATGTTTTAGTTTTTTGCATTTCGCAAATGGCATGAAAGTTTTATGCTTACTACTGCTAATGATCATCTTATTCATCTGCATTGTCGGACTTGGCGAAGGATTTGCTCCGCTGCTAGCGATCATGGAGTCTGACTGTTGTGTTGAGCTCCTAAACTCATTTGACTTTTGAGTCCTTACTAGCTGGTCTGCTGGCTTTCCACTGGTGGTCTTTGTGTGCGTTGGTTTGCTTTCGCTGCAGTTGTTCATTGCTCTGGGGAACATGTCATGGAGAGCCTGTTTGTTTACGCCACAGTGCTGCCCAACGTATGGAAGAAGGTATTGTAAAAAGTGTAAATTGTAAAATGTAAATAAGTAATTCATGAGATGATTGAGATCAGCTGAAGGCCTAAAGCAGAAGAATTTGAAGGGTTGCAAAGGGATCAGAAATTCACTATTAATAATATTTTGCCAGCATCTGAGCTGCGCTTACTTTTGAGGCAGAACTTGTAGTAAATGCATGGGTACCCATGGCGCTTGCGTTATGTGCTGCGCTTCAGTCTCCTTAAAATTCGCATTTTATGATTTTTATGGAGGCGTGCTAGAGCAAGAAAGGGTGCAACTTCACCTAGGCATTGGTTTTTTATGGAATTGTAAATTCAGCCTTTAATCCAAAGCATTCCAGAAATTTTGAGAGAAGGATTCATGATTGCACGTTAAATAGTGAGCGTCTTCGCATTATAACAGAGTGAGCACTGCTCACTGAGCAGTGAACACGGCGAGTTGGTAAATATTAAATAATAAGTGTAGTAATAGTGTAGTGTAGAGGCATACTTGTCTGCATTCGGGCTACATATGTCCAATATGGGAAGTAGCGCCTTTGAGTTAAAAGATATACCACTTTCGGAAAGTGATTTTCCTTGCTATATTTTAAACATTTTTTCTACACCCTGACACCCATTGTTGCCTTGATTATTGTTTACTTTGGGCTTGTTAATCGGCCCATTCCCAGTTAACGGTTGTTGCTTCGTAGATCCGCGTGGAAATTTTGGGCAACTTCCCACCCACCCCCGACGGCCACCGCTACTTGATCTTTGCCGTGGACACTTGCACCTACTGGACAGAGGCCCGTGCCCTCCCCGAGAGCAGCCCGGAGGCCATCGCGCGCTTCCTCTTATCGCTGTATTTTCGCTTTGGACGCTGCGAGATCAGCGTGAGCAAGCAGAAGTACGCGGTGTGCCAGAAGGTGGCCGAGTGTTTCCGCGAGCTCCTGCAGCAGCACGACATCCATCCCGCTACCCCGGATACCGCTGTCCTGCGGCACACGCAGTACGGTGTGGATCAGCTGTTTGTCCTGCAGGATCGCGGGGCGGACGCCGGTGTCACCACCGGCGGTATGGCGCTGGATAAGAACGGTGGGTGGTGTTGGTTTTGCAGTTATTAATTACCTGGCTGACATAGTACATCTTACCCTACAGATAAAATATTTATGTGGGGATATGCATATAAAGTACAAACACGTACATCGTGTTGGCGTTGCTGTCATCGGCGTTAGAAACAAATCTGCAGGTTTCTTGCTGTAAATCTTGTTTTCTTCCAACTTACACGGAAATCCAATTTTTCCTAAAAACAGTAATTTTGTCTTTTAAGAAATGTTTTCCTAGAAAAGATTAATGCAGTTAGTTTGTAAACTTCTCTGTCATGTTTTGCATTCGCGATTAAGAGCTACGAAATTACAAACTACAAACCATGTGAATACTGTTTGTTTTAAAGCTTAAACAAGTATTTCACCATCAATATTGATCTAAACGAAATGCAGCGTTCGGCCAGTTTTGTCTCCTACTCTACTCGTATTATTACTGCTTTGAATGCCGAAAGTACTTGCTCAACAACATCCGTAACAAACTCTCTTTCACTGTTAATCTCAGCCGTCCGCTTGTCGCGCAAGTGTAGTGTGGAGGCATACAAAGAAAAGTGTTGGTATCGGGACTGGAGTAGATGTAATGTACTTTAGGAAGTTGCTCCTCTGAATCAAAAATTATACCGCTTTCCTTTCTGTAGTTTAAATAATTTTTCTGCATATAATTTTACCAAAAATTATTGTTTCTTTTAGGGTTGCTGATCGGCTGTGCCGACATGCAGCTCCCTCCGTCTCAAGCCGCTCTCTTCACTGACGCTGATCCGCTCAATCCCATTCCCCAGTATCCCTCCCTGAAGAACACCAAACGCTCCGTCATCCAGCGCTCCACCACGACGGTGAACCCCACGAATCTCGACACGGACTTCCTGTCCTTCGTGTCGGCCAATCCCACCAACTGGGACGTGAAATTAGGAGGGTTTTTTATATAATCTCCGCACGGCGGTGGCGGTATGCAATAAAGGCTACTCCGCGCATCATCTAATGCTGGGACGGAATCCGGTGCCGGTCACCGGGAGAGAACTGATCGTGCGGTCGCTGACAGGGATCCACGAAGTGTTTAGACTGTTGAATCACAATGAGAAAAGCAGAAAATCGAAGGAAAATGGGAAGGAGACGGATAGCGACGCGGAAAGCGTTGTGGGAGGTTCGTCGGTCGTCGGAAGTGGTTTCTAGTAATCAGAAAGCCTATAATCTGCGCAGTCGGGGTGCTACCGTTCCGGACAGCGAAGTTATTGTTGCTGCCAGTGTGGACAATGAAAAACAGCAAAATGGTGCTGGTGTGGAGAAGAAAAAGAAGCCCCAGCGGAAGAAATTGCAAAAGGGGAAATCTAAGAAGAAAGTCGCCAAAACGACAGCGGACAGTCAAACTACGTCCGTTTTGCCTTTTGGATAGTTTAGTTATTTGGGTTGATAATTTGTGCATAAATTTATTTAGTTCTGCTGGTTGTTTGTAGGAAGAAATCAAAGAACCGGCGGAAGAGAAAGCGTGCCGATATTCTGAAAGTCAAATGCCCAGAATGTCCTAACACGTACGTGACGTGTCAAGAGGAATTGGATTTGCATTTGGAATGTCATACTGTTGATGAAGGTAAGTCTGCACACGGTTTTAAATGGATTTTTTGGTAGAAACTGCTCTTAGCCGTTAATCGTTGTGCGTTTCTAATTTTACATTACATTAGCTTTTAGACAATTCTACGTTAGCATTTAAATTAAACTATTTTACATTAGCTTTTCATTGAGAATGTCTGTACAGAGTAGATATACATATTTTGGTAATTCCAGTGACTGATATTTTAGTCACGGTGGAACGAATGGCAGCGCCGTACGAAACTGTCCAAACGATTTGTTAAATTTATACGCACTGAATAATTTGTTGATTTGCACGTACACGTAACTTTCATATCTAAAGGAAATTTAGGTATGAACGTCTTATCATACAGGAAGTGGCGAACGACTGTTCAAATGTCGGGAATGTGGGAAGATCTGTAAAATCTGGCTGAATATGGTGCGGCATCTGGGGCACCATCGGGACATATCGACGTTCCGCAAATTACCCAACGAGTGCTATACGTAAGGCCACAGATTAATATAGATATGAAGTGATCGCTAGCGATTTAATATTTTTTGGGATTGCTGGTGAATTAATTATGCGGCTTTCTTTGGCAGATGTAAGCATTGTGGGAAGGAGTTCAAAGTGCCGGAATGCCTGCGTGAGCATGTCCGCGTCGTCCACGAGGGCCAGAAGCGCTTCGAATGCCATATTTGCCATGAGAAATTCAAAGTGTACAAAACCAAGATGCGCCACATGGATCTCAAGCATGCTAATATCACGTACAACTGCCGTGATTGCCATTACAAGACCAAAGTACGGAGGAATCTCAAGTTGCACATGGAGAAGCATGAGGTAAGTTTATTCTAGCGGTAAATGCCACCGAATGTTGTGAAAAACACATAAACAATGCAGTATGTGTGCTGTTTGTAGTAGCTGAAAAACGATGGCGTGGTCCGTAATAAGAAATCTTTGTAATACGCTATTGTATGTGGTATCCTCCTTTTTACTTTTCAGAATATGCCGCATTGGATTTTTTGCCAACCATAAATCGCTAAATCATAATTTCAAACCACATTTAACCCTATTTCTGTTAATTTTCTAGGAAAACAAGAACTTCATTGTAGTTCGTAGATGGCTACGCTTGATAACATCCGTTGTGTTTTCATGCATACTGAAAGCGGAAATGTAGTGTGTGGGCTGTATATGGACGTAGGTCATCCTGTGAGCCTTGTTGACAGTGACGATATTAACAGTTTTGTGCATACTGAAGCCGAATAAATATCAGTATTTAATCTTTTTCATTTGCAAAAGTTTTTGGCAGTTTTACTGTGCGGTCCGTCCATCCGTTGGTCAGCTCGCAGTATAGGTTTGCTGATGATTGATGAACACTTAAGAAGTGGAGGCATTCTGGCATTGTGCGCTATCCGTAGAATAAACAACATGTAACAACTGTGTGATTCTTTAGAAGAAACGTAAAGCGGATCAGGAACGAGCAGAGCCACCGGAAGACCGTATGGAAGACATCCCTCTTCCCGTCAACAACGGTGTAAATCACGTCCAGCCATCGGAACCGGCCAATCCGGTTACGCATGCAGCGCCTCTTCCGGTAAAAATCAATAAATACATCTGTCATCAAATCTGGTGTTAACGAACGGTATGCTTCGGATTTGCAGGTAGGAAGCAGTAGTCGGTTGGGACCCTTCCACCGCATGCACGCCGCCAGTCTGTCGCATCCCGAGCCGCCTCCCCCGCCGGTCAGCATGCCTTGTCCGTGGTCAGGAGGGAATGAGGCCGCTGTCCAGCACGCCAACATGCCGGTGATTTATTTCACGCCGCCAGCTGGTCCCTCCAATCCGAATGGTGCGTTTGTCGCCGGCAATCATGCGGAATTGATGCCGGGATTCATGCAGATGGGCATGTCCATGCCGCCGTTTCAGCAGACCGTTTTCACCGTTCTGTCGCCGTCCGTGCCGGATGCGTCGCTTCCGGGGATGCGGATTACGGATTCTGGGCGGGCTACGTATCAGCAGTTGGCGTAAACCAAAGTTGATTTTTTTTATACAAATTCGGTTCCTTTTTGTCCTATTTTCTGTGGTTTTTTATACAGTATGTTTTTCTAAGTGAATACGCGGTTTTGTTTTTGTTAAGTTTGTACGTTGAAATTCGCATGCCTTTGAAATTTGAAATACTTATCTGGTGCGACCAAGTGCGATTGTGATTAAAGCGAGGTTGCTGGCTTTTGCCAAAACATTTTCGAAGGCAACTTCATATTTTTATCTGGTTTAGCGCACTTTTTGCTGCAGAGTACTGTACAATACAGTGGTTGCCGAGTAGTACACAGTTCTGTACGTTTTTTTTGCGTCGGTTGCTGACATATACATAAGACTTCTCGTAAAGAATCGGCACCAAATCGATAACTTTGATGGTATTGAATTTCAACAGCAACTTATAATTTAAAATTTTACAGAACAGTCTTGTCATATTGTTGTTATAGTTATATTGAAAGATATTATGTTCTACGATATGTTTTGTATGCAGTTAATAGGCCGCGTTTTTCGGCCACGGCTATGTAGTATGTACTGCGTATATAGTATTACTCATGCAATTCGTTACGTAATTTAAAGAGTGTTGTTACACTTGAAGACGACATCGACTCGTAACTGGCAACGATTCCGACTTCCTTGGTTATTAGTCTCGCATTTCAGACTTTAGCATACAAAGATAAAATTGTGGGCTGAAATTTAATGATCGGCGTTGCGTATAACACAGTCGCGAAATCATTTCCCCCGCGAAATGTGGAATAGTAAATCAATTACAGGTGTAAATGTGGCGTAGTAAATCAGACAGGTGCTGCGCAAAAAGTGGCTTTAGCCGGTATTGTGTTATATGCCTACTACTGTAATATAAGTAAGTAATGTTTATGAAACGTTTTATTGATACTGTAGTCAAATTAACCGACACTTGTGGTAGTGTAGTACGTAGCATTATTATGGAATGGGATCGACTCTTCACATACGGAAGAGGCGCTACACGGACACAGTGAAAAGGATTCCATTATTTCTATTACTGTATTTTTACATATACATCTGCGCAGTGCCAGAGTGTCCTATGTTTGCCAGTTGTACCACCAGGGAGAGACAATACCTTTTCTTTTAATCAGAGTTATCACATATACGGTATGCACATTTCGGAGCTGATCCTGCTTTGTCTCGACAACAAGATCTTTTGTGAGACGTCAGAATAGCCTGAAAAATATGACCGCACGGCATGTTCACGCTGTGCAGTCCGCTGTGCGGTGTCGTGACCTTAACAATTTTAAACTGCATCCACAGTATGATAGACTATACAATATACAATAGATCAAGATTGGGCATCCTTCATATTATATTAATCTGCTTAGCCATCTGACTGGATAAAACGGTCACGTTTCGCCAGTCACTCTTTCTGCGGTGAAAATTCCTCATTCAGACTGTGCGAAGCGGAATTCGGTGTACTCGATTAATGGTACTTGTACAGCAATGTCCTGGAATGTTACGCTTTTTCCAGGGAATTCATCCTGGATTGCCGAAAATGCTACTAATTCTTCACATGGTACATTGTCATCCGGTTATTTACCGGCAATTTTTATCAGATCGTGGACTTCGGTGTATTTATTTCTCTGCTTTGAAGGCGCCATCGGTAACCTGCTTATTGTTATCTTAATCCTCTGCAACCATAAACTGCGCCAGGGATGCGGATTATTAATCGCGCACTGTCTTATCGCCTACACCGTACTATGTGGCTTCAGTTTTCCCATTGTGGGGACCAGTATTTACCGTAAACACGTATCCCACTGGCCGATGGATGCCAAATACTGTAAATTCCTGCAGTGGATTCAAATTTCTTGCCGGAATGCCGGCTACTGGATTGACCTTTACATTGCCGCTAACCGTGTCGTGGCGCTGTGTTTTCCCCACAAATACCGCAGTTTCTCGCGTAAACGCTTCGAAGTGACGGTGTTGATTATTTTGTGGATAGCAGCCTGTCTTTACGCCACGCTGGGTTTATTTGATCTAGGGATGACTTTTATTATGCTTCCGTTGGGGACGTGTGCAACGGTGCCGAGTGGGCGTTTCGCATTGTTGAGCCTAGTGATTACCACGTATTTGCCGAGTGTTCTCACTGCGCTTTTTTACATTTTCATTTATATGAAAATTCTTGCGCTACACGGGAACAAGCAACAAACTGAACGGGAGAGTTCGAGGAATACTAAAGGTGTCCTGAAGGACAAGCGTACAAACCAGCGCGCCCGTATAGTGACAACGAACATGATGTGTATTTCCTTTGTGTGGAATGCTGCGTGCTCCATGATTCTGCCGGTAACGGCACCCTTTGTAAAGGTCGCACAGGACGAGTATCCGCTGCTGGTCATTGGACTGGGCGCTGTCCAGTTGTTAGGATACGCTAGCAATCCGGTAAATTTTACAATGAATACCTAATTTAATAAGTGATATATCACTTATTAAATTAGGTATTCATTGTAAAAATTACCGGATTGATAGTGGCAAATAAATATACACCTGATTTATGAACACATGGAATTATATATACGGTATAGTTATATGAGCAAATACTTTTTTATAATATACGAATGCATATGGTTACACATATTCATATTTTTAGATATTATATGTACGTGTATTTTTTTACATTCATGAAAAACTGAAAATATAGTTACGTATAATGTGTATACGGTCAATGAATGTATACTGTATACTGTAAATATGTGCGTGTGATCGCGATGGCATTTGCATTGCAGGTGATCTGTTTTGCAATGAAACCCGACTACCGTAGCGAGCTCAAGCGCGTGCTCTGCACAAAAAGCGCAAGATCAGAGCGTGTTGGTCCTGGAAGTGACGGTATTCCATACGGATCGAATACGCGAACACCCAAGCCGGACCCCGGTTTTTTAAGCAACAGACGGACTACGAATCAAACTGGGTGAATGCACTGCTTAATTTTGGCTTGGCAGATCGAGACTTTATAACCACCGTTTTGGCACACCTTATGGTTAGCATACGTCAAGGAAGACAGACGTGTTCTACCATTTAGATTTTCGCTACCTGGTTTCTGGCAATTTTTAATAGTCAGTCTGATCCGGAAACCTAATAAAATACACAATTATCGCTGCTTACTCCAATCTTGGCTTGACTGGTTTGGCTGTTTTGTTGTGTATTTTGTGCCGACGCTTATTTTTATGAAGCGGTAGTATCGCGTTGTCGGTAATTAGCGAACGCGGTAACGCCCAGTATAAGCTGTACGCAAAGGGACGAGTGAATAGTTCTGCTTTTTATACCGCTGAAATATTGTCACAGAGACAAATGATAAAACGGAAAATGAAGGCAAATCTGACTGCTAAATCGTGATCACTGACAAATACCACCCTAATCTAAATGAATCGGCACGGAAACCACTGAAAAACACTCGAAAAGTCCCAGATCCCGACTTTCTAAACAAAGGAAACCTTTATTCAAAAAGCGAGAAACAAGACTGAAAATCCTCCGTTTCGGCGAAGCCGCATAACCCGCAAATACAGCGCTAACGAACAGGAATGAACAGAAATGAACTACCGCTGGAAAGAACCAATCATCGCTAAACAATGCTAAAGGCGCAGCCCATGTTACACGTCCCCCCGGGACGAAAAGGCTGGACCCCAGACGCACAAAGAAAAGTAACAGAATAACCAAACTATAATGATACGCATTCATGTTGCGAACATTTCGAAAAAATTGCTAGGCATCGCGCACTTAAAAATACAGTCGTCAGTAAGAGACAATAACACCTATTTCGGATCCTCCGCGCCAAGGCCCTCTTTCTTTGCATCTTGCGGTGTTCCCGACATCTCCGCGTCGCCGCTGTTATGGGCTTCTTCACCCTGCGCGTCGACCAACATTTCTTCTGACCCAAAATCGCCTCGCTGCTCTTCGGCTTTTCGTCGGCGCTCCGCGGCTTCAAGCCGGATGTCGTCTAGCGGACGATTTCGTAGGACCAGCGGAATATAGCGATCGTAGTCTACATCCACATACACGGAGGTGCCGTCGTCTGGCTTTGACGGGTTCGGAAAAGTATAAGAAAAACCAAACCCGTCCCACTGCTCGTAGTATACCGGAGATGGCTTTACTTGGGTATTGGTCGGAATGGGAAACCGCTGCTGCGCCGCAATCTCTACGGCAGTGTGGCAGCCAGCCGGAACTGGCAGTTGCAAAATCATACGAGCCATCAGCGGCGCAAACCCTGCGACAATCTTGATACGGCGAGCCAGTGCCAGATACTTCTCGGCATTGCCGGTGACGAACGCATGATGGATTCTTACCCATTCGCGAAGAGAGGAGTCGGCTGGGAGTGAACGGCTGCCGTTATAGTGGAACGGATAGCCATTGTACTGGTGCTCCAGCAGCGTCGGTGGTCCGATATACCAGCGAACTACGCAGGGGTCTCCGGGGACGAGTGGAAATCGTTGGAGCTCTTCGTACTCTTCGTCGGTGAGAGTCGGCTGGCTAAGGAAGTCCCAGTAGGCATCCATCCGCATATCGCGCAGGAGCCACGGCATGGGTGGACCGCGTCCATCTTGTGGCTGTGCTGACGAGTTGACGGCGGCCGTTGTGGTTACACCTCCCGGCTGAGCTGACAAGTTAGCGGTGTCCGATGGCGCTACACTTTCAGGCTGATGTTGTTGTGCCGGCTGTGCACCAGCTGCCTTGTAAACGGCTGACAACTGCTGGGAAGGCGTTGGCAACAGACTTAGGGCACCCGGGCGCGGGAGCAGGCCACCCGCCCAGGTTGGAGTTACGCCGTTGGACTGCACAGCTGCTGGCGGCTTGCATGCCGGTTGGGGCGGCGGGGAATTTTTCTTGTTGCCTTTCCTCTTCAACATGATGGCCAACCCACGCTGGTACACGTTAGGCATAGTGCGGAAGCCCTCAAACTCCATCAATGTGCTCACATGCGGCAGTGGCAGCAAGCCAGGACGCGTGGTGCCGTGCTGTAACAAAACAACTAGAGCAGCGTCTGACGCAGTTATGCGACGCCCCGCGAAAGTCGAAGCTGATCTATTTCGGTAAAACCTTTTTAGCAGCGGAGTGCCTAGCGCTGCCCGGGCGAACCACATCGCTCAACGCGTAGCACTTTTAATACTATATGTAACGAGACGCTGAACTATTTTAGATAAACCACTGCAAGAGCAA